TCGCTCAAACTCCACAAATCAACTCGCTTCCAGTTGAGTACCCGTCTTCCGCATGTATGCACACCCAGTTCACTCTAGCTACTGAAGTCTAGTCGTTTTCGATAAAGCGGGCGGATTTATGGTCATACTACGTATTTAATAAATACTCTATGACGCCATTGTATGAGGCTTCCCAGGAAATTTGCCCTTCACCGTGTCATCTCATATTCGTGCCCTTTTTGATGTCTACTATTGGGTGACAGCAGATTCGTTATTTTCTTTGTGCGGTTTGTAAGACGTACTTGATGAATCACCTTGTCCTGCATTCAATTGTTTATTTGTCTTCTCGCTTACTTTGTTTCCCTTTTTGGAAACTACGTAAAATGTGACATGGGCAAGACATGAATTTGATGATAGAACGTGATAACACATGATAGAGGCTAATAATAGGCAACAGAAAGTAAGAGTTACCAGGTCTTTATACCTTTATCAGTATCAAAAGAGTGCGAGCATTTTGGTGTGTATGACTGTGTATGTGTGTATATATGTGTGTTTGTGTGTGTGTATGCGATATGTGGAATGGAGGGTTTGCAGATGATACTTGATAGTCGAGTGAGTGTGTCGTATGGTATGTGACTAGACATTTTTGGTTTGGTTATAGAAAGCGACAACAAGGGATATGAGCTGATAGCCGACATTAGGAGGAGAGAATCAGCATATCCGCTATGTGTTTTCTGGAAAAGGTAAACAAGTGTCCTTCAAAAGATGCGCAGGCGCTTAGTAACCAACCTAATATTCCCCGGGAGCGGACATAACTGTTTTTTTTTCTCTGAATTAGCCAGTACTTTCAAAGTAGGATAGGATGTAGGACCTTTTGTAGGATCATTTTTACCAGAACTGGAGTACGTAGCGGAAAACGCGTCCAGAGAGTAATGGATTCGCGGAACCGATCACTGAAGATTTATTTGTTTATTCATTCGTTAGTGCGAAAGGTGCACGTCAACAGCAAAAGAATAAGACAGGTTAGTAGGGAGCAGAAAGTAATTCTTCCGAAAGGCTAAAGCTTAAAAAAGGAAAGGACTGTTGAAAGGCCTTTGTTGAGTTTGAGTAAAGGCACCTTCCAAAATTTGAAGTCTCTAACAATCATAGAAAGAATTTTAATGTATTGCCGATTTGCTTAATCAAAATTAAATTTGTAAGGATGTTTCAACTGTTAGTTAGATAGCCTTGAAAAAAAACGACAAGGAAGGTCAGAGCACAGAAGGGGTAAGCTCCTCTCCCCCTTCAGGGACTTGGGAATTATAACGTCCGACCTCTTTTCCGACGTTTAAGATTGCTACTGACGGGCAAGACCGAGGGGAGGCTCAGGTCGTCTCTGAATAAACGCGATAAACCCATCCAAACAAGTTCTTACTTGCAATTTCACGTTGATCCATAATATCACCTGTTTGCACCCGTCAAGGCGCTTCTATTACTTTTGGCTCCTATCTTATCTTATTTGGAGGTGGTGACCATATCGAGCGGTGGGATCCATATTGCTCCAGCGCAGTCCGGTCTTTTGCCACGCCCCCTATCGAACACCATCAGTTGCGACAGGCCCTACACTATCTCAACTGCCAGGTATGCAATATTTCCGTAGGGCCATGCTCAATTGGTGAGCACCTATCTATCGTGTTTACCTTGGAATTTACCACCTTGGAATGAACCTTAAAGGCACCGTTCACGATAATTTTGGGTAATCCAGATTATGATGAAAAATGGAAGACAAGATCGAAACTAGTGCGCCTGAGGTGAAGAAACTGCGTGCATCGGTGTTTCCAAAGTGAAAAAAGGCTTCGAAAAAACGTTAAAAGGGGGCTGGACGTGAATGAAACCAGAAAAATGAAGAAGGGTGGGGCGTCCGGACGAGCTAAATAGTGTGTTTCACTGCGCGCGTGTGGGTCCTGGTGCGAAGAGCAGACAATGGTAAGCAAAAATTCATTCACTTATAAGCGTAAATAAACAAACAAAACCTTAGTAACAGCAAAAGTAGCTCACCTGTTTCCGCCTCAGGAGTAGGAAATTGAATAAGGGATCGCGGCAGCAAAAAGAAAAACAGAGGAAAAAAGAATTGCAGAAAAACATCGCCTCATCACTAGGCGATTAGCTGATTGTGCGTGGGTCCTAGAACGAATAATAGCAATCTGTATTGTCTCGACACTCGTCTAACGTGACACCAATCGAGGGGCGGGCACGCGAACTACGGCAACAACGGAGCTGCCACTATGCTCTGGACGTCGAGATTGGGGGAGTGAGAGGGTCCCTTCTACAACCATGGGGGCCGCTGAGTATTAATAAGGTAAGAACTCAATGACTTTTTTTATCGTGAANAGCTGATTGTGCGTGGGTCCTAGAACGAATAATAGCAATCTGTATTGTCTCGACACTCGTCTAACGTGACACCAATCGAGGGGCGGGCACGCGAACTACGGCAACAACGGAGCTGCCACTATGCTCTGGACGTCGAGATTGGGGGAGTGAGAGGGTCCCTTCTACAACCCATGGGGGCCGCTGAGTATTAATAAGGTAAGAACTCAATGACTTTTTTTATCGTGAACGGTGCCTTCAAGGAATAGCTGAAGGACATCGGCCCTTTTAGAGATTATGATTATTATTGCACTGATTCAAATTAAATTTTGATTTGAAAGGAGTTGTTTGTCTTGTAGGCCTTTTTGCCAACCCATTGCATCAAAGTCATCAATTTAGTATGCTGGCTGCCACTCCAGTGGTGATGGCCCCTAGCCGAAAACAAATCTCCCCTATCGAACAAACCCCGGTGCGGAATTTTGAAATTGTCAGTTGTCCATCTTTCCCCTTTCATATCTGACAATGAGTGCGATAAAAGAGAAGCAACTTTCAATCATATCAGGCAACAGAAATAAGCATAAAAATAAAATAATAAATAAAAATAAATAAGTATATTATCGGGTCAGCGGGAAGTTCTGTTCCGGACGGAAGGTTCAGGTTTTTTAATAACATGTAGGTGCAGTGGCAAGTGGCGCTCTACCACACACACGAACGGTCATGGGTTCGAGTCCCGGACCGACGTCCGCTTAGGCCAACCAAGCCTCCCTCTCCGGGGTCGGTTAACTGGTACCGGTCTTGTCTGGGAGGTCAAAGTACTGACTTGTACATGGGCGCACTGACTTGTACATCGGCTGGCCACTGCCACATACGCATCCAATTCGACACTACGATTCTGAAAGGAGTTCGAATGCGAGGGCGCATGCCATGGACGGGATTGAACGCCCAGGACTTTGTCCCTAAGAATTTATGTTCCTCAATGTAATGAAGCACGCTAGATTAGATAGTATATCCACCATCGTTGAAGGTTACTTCTTGCTAATGTTCAGGCAGCTTGTAGACGCCGTCCCTCGGAAATTCAGAACGGCGCGAGGCAACGAGTCTCAAAGCTCCTTTCTCTGGGTAATGAATTAGATCGAAGAATAACCAGTAGTCGAAAAAGCGATTTCTGGTATATTCGGAGAATAGGAATTAAGCCGAGGCATAACACACGAGCTCTGACCTGGGCCTTGTACTTGAATTGTACTGACATCATGTATGTATGTCCTGTAATGCAAACACGAGCGGTGGTTTTCCAGCAGCTCTGATTCAGATGAAATTCATCAAATGTGTGTTACCAACTCATGTGCAGGCAGTACTTTTCGGCTTCGATTTAGCGTGTACACGACCATTTTGTCGTTTCATATTTTTGTCGACAGTTTAAGTATAAACCTAATAGTGCGACAACTCTTGTATGCACACAATCCTAAAAATTTCTGACTGCAGCCTTTAGTGTTTCTTTTCGAGTCAAGGGGGGAAAGATTTCTCTTCCCTTGTGTCCACTTTCACAAACTTCTCCACCGATCTCGAAAATCGGCATTTCGTTTGCAGTCTCCTGTGCTGAAGGAACCGAACGGAAGCTCCAATAACTGCCCACATTCTCCATACCAGCCATACTAGGTTACCGAATTAGATTTCTCACAAACCTCGCGATAGATAGTCTTTAGAAAAGTAACGTTCGACTCATACAACCAGAGTTGTTGATTGCTCGAAATTTTTGATTCGCAAGTTGAAGACAGAGAGAAGCAGAATTTTTTTACTGTTGGAAGACAAGTTCGCACTGAATCAGTTAAAAAGCAAAAAAAAAAGGAATCAGAAACAAAAGGCTCCCCGGTAGTCAGGACGGTGTGCCCAAGCTGTCCTTCACTTGTTTACCTCGCCCAGTACACCACATGTTTCAAACATCCACCAAATCTGCCCTGAATTCCATAAAACTTGGCAAAGCTCTGCTTTTTGGCTTTCGCGAAAAGTGGTAGGTTGGGATTGTTCCGTGAAGCTGAGTCTCACAAAGAGGCGAAGAATATGGGAACTTCCTGTGATCCATAATTGATCCCACTCAGATATGGGTATATTCACCGATTCTGGATGGACGAGGTAAACTGCACGGCGAAATTCGTAATGATTTGAAAAACTCTATCGCCTATCATTGGGGCACATGTTTCAAGTTGATGTATAAGTAGGGCCAGCTGATGCGCATTCTTGGGGAACGGAACATTCCCCCAGAACTGGATCGACGCAGCAAACTGCGCGGCAAAATTCGTGGTAATTCAAATGACTCTGGAGCCTATTGATGCGAAAATTTGACGTAGGGTAGATAAGTGGAATCAGCTGGCCCTAATTATACAATCTTCTTGAAACCCGTGCCTCAATGGTAGGCGCCAGAGTCGTGTTAATCACCACGAATTTCGCCGCGCGGTCTGCCGCGACCAACCAGTTCTGGGTGATGCATCCATACCCGCATTTTAGCCGTGAAATACAATGTTTTGACCGCAGTCGACATCAAATTCTTACGCCAAAACGTTCACCGCGGTTGATTCCGTTTTATGAAATCTGTCTTTTTGGTTTTGGATTTTTACGTTCACTTTATCATTTTTACATTTTGGCTCCTTTATTTATACAAGTGAACGGAAAGTTATCAGATGCCTCCCAAGCATGCGATCACTTATGAGCTTCACGACAAAGTTTTATGTAAGTATAAGGACTACTATTACGCTGGAAAGATAGTCAATGTGTCGACAAAAGACAATGAGCGCATGTTCACTGTCCATTATCAGGTACGACCTGTGAAGTTTATTTCTTTTTCACTTCCTGATGACCAAAATTGTCAAATAACTTTCTTGCAATATGATTTGATTTTTGATAGTATTGGTCAACAGGAATATAACATGATATGATTGCTTTAAAGGGCTGGCATAAAAGGCATGATGCAGTTGTACCGGAAAGCAAGGTCAAGCAGCTGTTTCTTCCTTATACAGACGAGAATGTTGCGAGAACAACGGTATGTCCTTCCTATTGTTTCAATTCAGTATCTTTCAATTTTCTTTTTTTTTTCAAAGTCTTTTCGCTTAGCTTGGTACAGGGACTCGGAACTTCTCATATCGGATGAGTTTCAAGTAAACAACGTTAGTGGAGTTTTGAGCAAATCAGATAAACCTAGTGAACCGATAAACGACTGTATTGGCGCAACAAAAAAAAGTAGCAGTCCTGTGGTATGAAGGAGGGTCTTGAAATTACCGCTGGCTTCTACTTAATTCGCTCCCTATGTGCTGCATTAAGCGGCGAAAAGTTTGTACATATTTTGGTAAATAGTCTTATAGAAATAATCATTTCGCATTTTCTCAGTTATACAAGTGCTTCCAGCAAATTATATTATCATATTATATATTATATTATAATTGTTATATTATACAAGTGTTATATTTTTACAGTTTATCACATATTCGAATATGCCCTTTTACAGACGTTGACGCAATCTCTGTGTGATTGCAGACGTTAGCTAGCAAACAATGTCTTCCCACAAGGGCAAATTTGATCAGAACTTGTTTTTTTTNTTTTTTTTGTCACAAACAGCTCAATCGATGAACGCGGACGTTACAAATCGTTAAGGAAAGTTTCTCGGACAAATACTCCTTTAATAAATGTTCCAGGCTGAACTGGAGGCAGCAAAATTAGAGAAAAGACGTAGATCGAAGCTGAAGGAAGCTCCTGTGAGTAATTACAATCTTATTTTTTGAAGCGTCCTACTTTTGTCCCTCGTTTGGAAGCTCAACGAAATCCATGAATTACATGTGAATGTTTCAAATGATAGAATAATCTGTCTTTTAGGAAGTTTCCAATCCCTCACCACTCAGTCCGCCGATAACATCGCGTCGAAGTATGTCAGCTTTGGTTTTGCTAGGCTTATTAATTTATTTGTTTTATTTCTCCATGGCTAATGAGCACGTTGTAACAATCGTTCAATGTATACATTCTTATTCCGAAGCACGCAAATGCATCCAATCCTGAAAACCTAGACAGGTTCCGCTCTTGAATGTTCCCAGATACCTTCCTTTCTTGTGATCGTTTTGAATTTTCATTGAGGTTTTATCTTCTTCCAGTGTTTCGTTCTTTCTGTGAAAGACTGGTCCAGACTGAGCTGCAGCCTTGGCGAAAAGGATTTTTAAGACATTACGTGCTTTTGCTCCTAGTTCCTGAGAGTTCGTGTCATTCAAATAATGTAGAGCTGTGTAGATGCCGTTTTGGCAAGGTCAATGTCCCATAGTCGATTAAAAGGGAGGACAAAGATGAGAACTGCAACATGAGAAATCATCCTAGCCCTCTATTAGGACGCTTCAGTCCTCGTACAGAATGAGCACTTGAAAAGAAGTTAAACATCGACGTTTTTCTTCCTCAATACGACTCCCCTTCAAGAAACTAGTCATAATGTTTCTTGCAGACTTCATCAAGCACAAGATCTAAATCGCTTTTATCCACTAGAACGGACGTTGTTTTCTTTTTCTCATACCTATTTATTCACAGTACTGCTTTGTTCTTACTGAAAGATCTCATGGATTTTATCAGCAACTGAACTCTGCAAGAGTAAATTCCCTCTCGTGATTAGAGGCTTTATCTTAGGAGGAGTACACCGTCATGTTTTCAGGTGTCCTTTGCTAGAAAACCCTTTTACTGAGCGATTTTTCTTTCTCATTGTTGGAGGTATTCAGTAAGACCACCTCGCCCCTGCAAAAGATGATACCACACCGAACGCGAACCCATTAAGACAATTGTTACCGTGTCACTTTGAGGTTTCTTAAGGTTCGTCGTAGGTTTTCTCTAGGGTATGCTCTTAAACTTGAGTACTCATGTTTATGCTTCCCCTCAAACTCAATTTCCTACACACCTCAGTGATCCGAAGATGTTTTTAAAACATATTTCTCTATAACTTAGGTTTCATGTTGCATTATTTTCGGCGTGGTTGCTCTTGCTATCTCTTTTTTCACTTCCAGGCAAAGTGGTGAAGCATGAGCCAATCCTTGATGTGAACTCCATAAAACATGTAATTTCATTTCCCTTCTTTTTGTTCTTTAGTTTCTCTTGTATATACTACCATTCTCACCTGAAAGTATTCAGTACTATGGTTGTCTGCCAAAATCACTGAATGAGATTCTCGAAAAAGATCACGATGCAGTCATTCATCGGCGTCTGTTGACAAAGTTGCCTGCCGCTTATCCTGTTGACTTGCTACTTGTTGAGGTTTGTTTTTCAGTAATTTATTTGGTTTTTTGTTCATATGATAGTCATCGTATTTTATTCAAATAGTGGCCAAAAGTGAAGTGCAACCCGGAGATTCTGTGGTCTATGTTCCCATATACAATTATGTGCTAGATATTTTCGCATGAATTTAGAAACAGTAAAAGTACAAGTTCTGATTTAATCATATCATTAAAGCGTGTCCCTACCCTGCCGTTCAATTCTAATTCTCATTACATTATTATTGCAAATGTGTGAAAAGAATTTGTTTGTCTGGGGTTCATTAGTGAAAGGAATTATTTGAATTTCAGTTCCTGAACACCTATGACATCGAAATCGCGTGGGGAGTAAACATGGTGACCGTTTCTTACGGCGACGAAATTAGCTGCTCCCATTTGAATTGCCTTCTCCAATCATGCCAAATGATAACCGATTATTTCAACATGATGCTCGGGTATGAGCCTGTCATATTCATTTGAGTATTGAGTATTTGTTTATATAGTATTTCCCTGAATCCTAGGTCAATGTTCTTATTCGTTATATTCACACAAGTTCTAAAGTTCACTCAGATGAAGCTGCCTTGAACTAATCGGTCCTTTAGTTCAAACCTCCGAACCGTCTACTTTTTCAGAAAGCTGCTACTATACCCGCCCGAACGTGATCAGTATCAGTCAGAATTGCTACGGCAACGTCTTTTAAATTTGAACGACGCCAATGGAAGCAATGGGCAACCACATTTAGGTAGAGTTCTGTACTATTTTGATTACATGGTAGCGCTTTTCCGCCAAACTTGGCTGCACAGTGCTGTTTATCTTCTGTTGCAAACAATGTCTCCTGGAATTTCAACCTCTCCCTCGTTTTGCTTGTCATGTTGTTTATGAACAACAACCAACGAACAGGAGCTCCAATGTGTAGATGCAGTACATTATCCAGCTCTTCTTTATCTACTTGGTTGCTACTGTTCAATTATTATTAGGGATCGCATTTTAAGGTTCGGCCATATTGCCAGACAACACTGTCCCAGTGCGACACTCCTCAGTTTTTGGCCTTCCGCACCTGCTAAGGCTATTCAAATGTTTGGCTGAGAAATTCAGCAATCTGCCTCAAGATTCAGAACCTTTGGTGGTAAGTTTTGTAGCACGAGATATGAATTTTTCGTTTTGTTCAAGGTTCTTTTACACTCAGAAGCACGTTAATAGATTTCTTCCAGACCCTGAAAGTCATGACTGCTGAATTTGTTATGTTTTTGGAAGAAAATCGTGATAAGTACTTCAGTGTCAGAAGGGATTATGAGCCTCAAGAATGAGATGAGGTTTTTATAATGATAACGTACCGGTAATGCATTTTGTATCAAAATTTTGCCAGTGATTGTTGTTGTTGATCTTTATAGCCATTCAATGTTGTTTTCATAGTAATGCTTTGTGAGAATCGGTTTTATATCGTTTTAATCTTATTTTTGTTTGAGAAATCCTATCCATTCTGACAAGACCCGATATACCTAATAGCAGAGGCCGGATATAAGGCACTGTCAAAAGTGAACCTCAGCAAGCATAACTGACCAACCAATCGATCTTAAACAGGCGAATTTCGATGTTGAATTTGGCAGGAGATTATGGCCACTGTTTTTTTCTCTGTGAGATGAATCCTTTCAAACTGAATTATTATCTGCTTTTTTTACCTTTGACAAGTGATCCAGAACTACTTCGTTGAACAAAATAAATAATTTATTAGAGCTGATGATGTTTTTTCCTCAGATTCTTTTATTGCTGGCCATAATCTGTGCGGACTAATGAGCTGAAGGAGGATTGAGGAGCATTTCTGACTGTAGCTTCCGCAGTATTGCAGAGTGATCTAGAAAGCCTCAATACTGTCACAAAGAAAATCAAGATATGAAAACAGTTAAGTTTTGGCTGTTATAGTAAACAGTTTCCTTAAATGGGACTCTCTATCAGTGACCCGGATGGGATGGTGTTACTTCTCCCGGATTCCCATAGCAAGCAGCAGTGGTTCCGCGCCGGGTACCATATGCTGGGCATTCAGACCATTGCCTTCATAGCGCGCAATCGACTACGATGAGCGCGACGCAATTTTTGGGGACAAGTACCCACACCTGTACAGCATGTGAAAAGGTTTCCATTGCAGTTTTCCACGTGACAAGACACATACCCTACCAATGGAGGTCGGAGTAGGATTAGAAGTTTCTTTGACCTGCTTATACATAGAGTAGGCTACATTGCTTAGTATGATAATACCCGTTTAATCAATTAGACTGCAAACATACATTGCTCATGGTCCAAATTCTCATCACTAAAGTAGGCACCATCGAAGTCAACAATTTTCGGTTGCCCATAAACCAAAACTATCTGCAAGCGAATGTGTACTTAATGAGACTTTTGTAATCACCAAAAGTGTTGGACGTACCTGTTGCCTTCGAAAGTCATGAAGTCGTAGCATTGGGTAGGTGATGAAAAATTCTCTAATTATATCTACAAGGTTATGTCTCTGTTGTGGAGACAACTGTACAAGATGCAATACATCCAAAGGCGTTCCTCGCTCGGTTACGATATTTAGCTGTTGAATGTTATCCAAAGGATTTCTGGGAATGCAATATGACATCATCTGTAAAAATATTTCAGGCTAAACAGCTAAGTTCAGGCTCTGTAGCTATAAACGGAATTTGATGGGTATGAAAAACACGCTCACCGTAATCACACTCGATGCGTTTTGTAGCTTTAACAAAGCTTTTATTTCGCTGGCGAAACTTTTCAGCATTTCCAGATTGCAGCGAATTTCCTGAAGTACATATCTAATGAAAAAGGGTGAAAGATGTTTATTCATTCAACTTCTTTCTCCCTAGGCTATGCGGGATGCCTATTCAGTGATCACTGATTCCATATGATTCTGCCTTCTCCTTGATCTGGGCTGCTTAACAGGTTGAAGCCAATCGGCTTTTTCCCTTCTTATTCTAATCGATCCATGAAAATCTGTTTCTACAGGGCGTGGGCGTCATCACAAAAAAAGACTATCCTTTTTTTCCTTTTTCTCGAAATACAAGCTGCCTAATTTCGTCCCTTATCTTCCTTCTTACAGAAAACGGGTCATTCTTCGAGCTGAAAAATCTTAACTTACCCAATCGTTTTTCCCAAAATTGGCATGGAAACAGTCTCGGTAGGTCCTGCCTTCTAAGTTTGGCCTCTTTATTACGGTACTTTCTGAGAGGAGCTCAACCACTTTGCTCCAGCCGCTGGCAAAAGTCTTGTTGAGTGAAGATTCACCATCGGAACAATTGAGATACGACGCTAAACTCGAAGCGATCATCCTTGTTTCAAATGGATTTGCAGGTATGCTTTTCTTGGGATAAAAACTTACGATCAGTGCCTCTTATAAAAAATCCATTTGCTTTTTGTTCCAAATCGTTGAAAATTGACAGATCAAGCGAGTCTGAATCTTCTTATAACAAAACTATGGAAAATCTTCAATAGACAGAGGAGAAATGAGTCTGGTACTGTGTGAGACCTTGATTCAATAAACGGCCTGAGTTCTGAACGAGGCAGTTGGGGTTTTTTGGAAAAGCTCTCCTCCAAAATCCTCCTCATAATTAAAGTACTCTTACTTCAAAGCAGACTTTTATCATTTGGCGGTGTTTTGCAAAAAAGTTTGCGAAGAGCGAACAGGACAGAACAATATTAATGCCCCTCCATGTTGAGATCATCCGGATAAGATTATTTGCAAATGTGTTCCAATTCGTGGTTCGCTTTTTCCCCCGAGTGTGCACTTCCATGACAAATGACGATCGTTAGCTGTTGTACAGCGATAAAAAAGAGAAAACGAACCTATTGGTAGAATTATGTCTTCAATTTGATGTAGGTATCGTAGTAACTCATCTCGGTAGAAATAAGTTAGAATCACCGTCGTTAGCGTTAGGAAATGCCAGTTCATAGCATTCTGGTCTCACATTCAAACTTCTGTTGATGAGGCCTAAAAGAATATACGCACTAGGTGGAACAGTATATGAATACGTAAAAGCATGAAATCTTCGAAGTTAATCGGTCCCTCCTTGGGATACACACCGCACTCGACTTCCATTCAGAATTGTTGCGGCGGTTTGAATGTGTACCTGGCCTATACAATGACATGGGGTGGCCAGCCAATGTGCAAGCCAACGCTTCTAGTCTCCAAGATGGGTCTTGTACCAATCGACCGTCCCCGAATGGAGGGAATGCTTTGTTGACTCGGGTCACTATCGATTCAGGATTCCAGCCGTGGACCATGTGTGTGTGGGACTACCATTGAACACATACACTACACTTCTCTCGAAGTTGAGGTTCTACCAACTTATAATGCCTAACGTTTTTTTATGAACAAAGAGCTATCTGGATGCCTTTCGATCTATCAAACGCTGAGTGATGTTGAGATTTCTTGCTGCCTACTGTGCTCGTTACTATCATAAAAACCACCTCTTCGATGGCACTACGTATAATGGTAATGCGACCAGTCAGGGATCGAATATTCACCGAGGTCATTCAAGCCTTCCATGTTCCTAGAGCCTGTTAATTGATGGCAGACTGGTATGGGGGTGATAAAAGCACAAATTAGGTACATCTGCTGGCTCCGCATCCCAAAACGAAGTTGTTTGGAACCAAAAGTTCCATTCTTTCCTTACTGCGCAGCTATTCGAACAAATTTGCATTTGGGAGCGAGACATTTGAAAATCTTTTAACCGAAATCCCATGATAAGCGAGTAGATTCCCAATTCCGAAGCCTACCTCATGTATGCCACTACTTTCTCAGGGCCTTTGAGGGTATGCAGTGAATGGACTGAAACTATCGTCTCTAGTGACCATATTGAGGTGACGTTTTAATATAAGGTGTATCGAACAATCGGTCACCCTTAAGACCGGGAATAAGGCTTTGATTAAGTTGGATGGACTGGTCAAGCTGTAGGTGCACACATGTAGTAAGCAGATCTTCATTTGCCGTTGTAGAGGGAGGAGGGAGGGGGTATGTCAGCCGTGAGGTCAGTAAGTCCAATACGAAAAAAATTTGTTATTCAACCTCAAAGCAGCTATGTAGCAGGGGGTGATGGATGAAAACAACCGGAGGGAAAGATCGAAGAGACCCAACGTACACACTGATTATGAAAAAAAGGGCGCTGTTCTGAAACAGTCCTAAAAGGGAGGAAACGTTCTTAGGTAAGCAGTGTTCAGGATGCTAGATGCTAGAAAGAGCTACGCAGACCGAGTATGTCCTCCTATGGGAAACTTCCTTGAACGGTGGGGAGGCTTGTTCCAGAAACTCAAGAAACTGAGTTTAAGGATAATCTGAGGTCAAGTAATTATTAGAGAAATAAAGGTAACGAAGGGAGGGCAGGAGTTCACTGTAAGCGGAGGCACCTGAGGTTGGGATAGACAATATAAAAAATTAACTATTGCCTGCTTTTCTAAAACTTCCGATACTCAGGGAAACCAGAATAGGCTAGGAATGATGCCAGAAGTCAGGGCAAGGGTTAGACCGGATTCCATTTTAATGACTTCTGTCAATATGAAATTATCGCCTTCCGAGAAGTGCACTCAAAACAAATGATGGATTGCAGTATTGACCGAATACAAACGAGAAAAAGAGGCTCCTCGGAGTTGCAAGGCCCCGATCGGAAGAGGTGGCCAACAGTCACAAGCAGACTACAACGAATTTAGTTTCAGTGGATATTCGATCGAGTGATCCCCTAATATATCTAGGCACATAAGAAAAAGGCTGAAAGACGAGAGTGCTGGTATTGATATGAGTTCATGGGAAGTTATGAAGCTAGGGGACAACCCTGCAAACAGAGGGACAATTGAATTACGTTGGAACGAACCCTGTGGGCAGGCGAGTCATTTCACATATCTGTTTCCAGAACCAATGGTCTTCCCTTTCCGTACCCATGTTATCTCGGCCGCAACTTTTAGCCCCAAAACAGCAGTAGAATAAGCTGTTTCGGGGATAACATTCGGAAATGTTACCTCTCTCCTAACCCTCTCCTAAGCTTTGCCCCCTCCCCCCCCCCCCCCCCTCCCCCGGCTTGTCCTGCTCAGGACTTTTATGATAGTGGTCGCGAACAGAGGCGCATCCATATAGTCGAACTTCCTCCTCTAGGGGTAAAGGGTATCAGTATTGGAGACAGAACACGGTAGTTTCCTATCTCTTCCTTATTCTGGCAAAAATTGAGATAGAAATAGCCTAATTGCTGGCCATTCGTAGGGAGGGAGCAGGGTCAACTCGAACCCCTATCCAGGAAAGAGCAGCGTGAAAGAAATGGTTTTGAGTAAACAAGTTAAGATGTGGTTAGCCTTATAAAGGGGAGGTAGAGGTAACCTCAGGGTGGTCGAAGGGTACGAAGTCAACTTAGGGAAAGTGTCAAGAGTTTTGTTCCTGCTAGCTTACCTCCTGAAGACAGAGACAAAACCAGAAACCCCACTTCCGTCATTCTCCAGGTTTTTTCCCGTTCCCGATTCCCTGGTGGATTGCTAGGCAACTAGCACCTCCATTTTCAAGCCCCAGTATGCATTGGAGGATGTCTAAAATGATGGTAAATCATCTGTGTTGCTGTTTATCCAGCACTGACCCCCACTCATTATTTTTCTCTGCCGTCGAGGTGTTTAAAAAGCAGGACATTCTGGAGACTCGTGATAATTTTCAATGTTGAGTCAGACTGGGAGGTTTTCCCCTTCGAGAAATCAGCTTTATGAGAATCGATATGTCATTATAATTTATTAGATCTGATAATTGGATTAGAAGGAGGAGCAACATTAGAGCCTGATATAATTCGGAGGAACAATATTCATAAATTGTGAAGTTGATAGGGTGGTGCGCTGGCATGGATTTATGTGCGGGCGAGCGAAAGACGGCTGTCAAGTCGGATTCCCTCATCAATCACAGCACTGCAATGGAACTGCTCTTCGCTACATGAACGTCATCGTCACTGGGATAGAGAACACCTCTACGGAATATACTGAGCGTTCTAAACGATTTGAAAAGATCCGATGGGAGCAGATGATCATTCGTGAAGGATCGGGCTTTCTGACAAGGCCTAATGGCCCCGTTAATGTGCTTTCCGTGTTGGCGGGGCGTGATTTTGACACCTCGCGACGGGGCATCGAATGAAGGCCATTCATCAACGTATGTCAGTATGGCGCGCGCTATCAGTCTCAGCATCGCCAATAATTCAATCCCAAACAAGTCGACGTCGACTTTGTGAACTGCTGAATCGCCAGCGTTCTCCTTCTCTCTTCCTTCGATTGCCCTTTGCCTGTGACTGGAAATTTCGTCACAATAATAACAAATATCAAGCGATACTTCTGAGCCGTAACAGGCACCGGGAAGCACCGGAACTCGTATCCGGTAAACATGGATCTAAAAAGTGTCCATTTTCTACTTATTCCCTGAGGTATGCCGGTGAGCATTTTTGGTAACTACTACGCATCTAGGCTGTATTCAGCTTTTAAAGGCATAGTTCACGATAGAAATGGTTGCTGAGATCTCCCTATAGTACAAATTCGTGGCTCCCCCTTATACCATACCTGCCGTTATAAGGTCGAAAAACGTCGTGGATAGGGCACAATGAGGGTCTAGAGAATGTATCGTGTGAATGCCACACACCTATCATAGACGAGTTTCTCAAGAGACTCCAAAGTAGGAAGTTCAAACAACTTGTCATAACCCATGGCGACAATGAAGGGCAGTTTCGGACAATTTGGCTTGATGTAATCATCTCTTTGAGCACTGGAAGCAACTTAAATCTCGTCCAAGCACCCCTTACATGCCATTACCGCCGCGGTGATCTCGTAAACCTCCACTTCCACTACTTTTAAATAGCCTTGATGCAGGCGGATTTACTCGTTTTCTTTGCCACCGATGTACTCCTCTCAACACTTCCGCCTTCCAACCTAGAAAGCGTACCTCGGAATCATCGTGAACTGTGTCTTTAAGTGGCTATGCAAGCGTTCAGATCCCCTTATCCAACCCATTCCTTTCCTTGGCTGGCGAAATTTGTGAAAATTAATTCCAGCGAGGAGGAATGAGTACTCAGCGGCCCTTAGCAATGAATGATGTGATAGGAACTGTCGTGAAATGGCGTACCCGATTTGCCCTGATCACGCATGCAAATGTTCGCCTTTCTTCATAGGAGAAGAGGTGGCGGAGGTAGCAGAGAAGAATATTTCACTAGCAGTTTCATCCCATCTATGCTGGCCCATCTTCACGGAACTATCCTGGGAACCACAAATCACTGTGGTTTTGGAAAATCCTGAGTACCGTCCCTCTGCCTCTCCTGTATAATATGATATACGGAAAAATGCGAAAAATCATCATCAAAATCAAATCATTACCGTAATTAACTCATGCATCAGTAATTCAGTAATACAAAGTTGAGTAAGGTAAAGTATCTAAGCCTCGTTGAATATCTGAATAACTCTCTGACATTCATCCCTTTTTCAAGGCCGTTACCTCTTTGACTTCCATTCGTAGTCGTAGTGGAGTTTTGTGCGCTATATAACGAATTGAGGTGGCTAGCCAAGTCCGTGCTTACAGCCTCTTCGCCAGTCTGGAAAGCAATGACCGACCCCTGATGGGGGAAGGCTCGGCGAGTACCGATCCTGGATTCGAACCCCTGGTAACGTGTGTAATGGTGCGCTACTTGCCACTACACCACCATCTCTCATAACAATGGAAAATAATTCAGTCAACGTAGTTTATCAGAAACAGACATGAACAATCAAGCAACCATACAGAAAAAAAACAAACAGATACACAAAAGTTCTTATAAATGAGATCACTAAGAAACCTATTCTTCTTCAGGCCAATGACAGCCATTTAGCGGGACAAAGGATAGTGAATCATGAGTTGAATAAGTTTACAGGCAGAGGGATATCATTCGTAAACACCGTAACCAGGGAATAAACCGTATCCTAAAGTACCGAATCTTCCTAGATATTCTTCGCTGCTTACTCCATGGTATCGACCATGTCTTCCGTAGTAACGCCCTAGATTTCAGACTTCAATTATTTTGTGTACTATATACCACACAACTGATTTAGTAAAGACCTATCCAAGAGGCAGGAAATTCTATTGGAGTAACTAACCATAACGACGGCCGCCATAGTACCTGTAATAGAAGATACAATCGCCTAACTTCAGAGGAAATAATTTACATGGTTGACCTAAGCCCTCTTGAACTACTTTTAGTGCTTACCTTTCGCGGCTATCATAGCTATGGCTGTGGCTGTAGCTACGAACTTCGGTCACGGTGGCTACAAAAATATGAATATTAAGTTCTGAAGGTAGCTGAATAATTTACCGCTGAATATACCGAATTAAACGGGGATCAGTGACATTACTGTAGAATGAAATGAAAACGAACCGAAGGCGAGAATGACGGCTATAATGACAACGATCAGACGTAACTGCATTTTTTGGAGACTGTACAGATCCTACTCGTGTCCTTATATAGCCTTTGATGTGATAGTACTAGAGGTGATACTGGCACCAGAGGGTCTTCTCTCCCGAGATCATGGCCCATTCAAGTGATATGGTTAGCTGAGCTGTAACTGGTTTTATCCCCTTAGGTCCTATCAGGGCTATTTATTTCGCCAATAGAATGATGTCTGTAAAGTAATAAATGACAAAAGGTTTGGGACGCAACCCACAATTACCAAAATCCACTCAACTGCAACTCCAACAGAATCATTGGATAGGAGGTTTATAAATCCAAACTTATGCTTCTCTACACCTTAAAAATTCTTAAAAGAACCAATTATCTTCTGTGGTTGACCTTTTTGTGTTCATATGATTTTTTGGGGGAAACGGGCATAGAATCAACTGGTCCGCGACCGCCGCACGCGAAAGTCGCGGACCAGTTGCCCCGTTGTTGCACTTCTAGCCAATCCAGCGCTCTTCATAAAGCTTGATCGAAATGCGATTATTATTTTCGGCACGATTCTACTTGCTCTATGACTTGCTCGTTGCAATGCTTCTGCTCCCTTCTGCTACATTCCTTCGCGCGCGACGTCGCTCTTGCTGCAGAGTCAGGCCCGCAAATTCGTTCCAAAAATGGACCTCCGCGATCACTTTCATAGCAATATGTGGCTTTCACAGTGAGGATCCTTGTCTACAAGGCCTGTCTGATTACTAACTAATAGAAATCGTACTGTCGTGTGAAATCTGAGCTGTGCTTTTGAGAAAGGTCCAATTATTGCGCTTTGGAGCAAAACCAACCTTTATTAGGAAAGTTCCAACAGTTCCTTCAAAAAACTGAGATCGAACTAATGAGAATCACGTTAGGATACATACTACTGCAATTCCACTTCAAACAGTTTTCATCATTCAGTTGTTCGTACTCGAACTTGCTGATCTAGGGCTTCTTACATCGGTTTCATCTTCAAATGTAAAATGATAAGGAGTATTGATGTAGAAATTGTAGTAAAGGGTCACAACAGCCACGAAATAGATAGGTAGTGCAATTCGTGCGAAGCGGTCGACAGCACTGATCGAATTCTGGGCCAGACCAAACGGATCAGTTTTAGGTGCCTGTAAAGAAAAAACTAAGAAAGGTTTGTAAACCTTGACTGTGGTTTTGTGACCATGACTTCTAATGAAACACTGCCGTATTACCACATATACGATTGAAAGTTGAGAGAGTGAGTCAGAGTATCTTACATTGTTTATCATCCAGTAGTAAAGACGCCAGCCAACATTGTCCCTGGAATAATAGACATTTTTCCGAGCACTGAGAAAAACGTAAAAATAAATGTAATGCCAAAAAGGACTAGTTCGGCCATGAAAACGACTGACTGATGAAATTGCTCCATTGTTTGTTCGTCTGCTTTACTAGGAGATGACGTGCTGTGTTTTTTCGTGAGTGGTCGTTTCTTGCTCAATAAACTCGATTGTCGATTGTACATTGAATGTCTTCCACCGTCTCGTCGACTCTATAGTAGTCAGTAAAGCAGTAAAGGGTTCAAAGGTAAGCAGTAAATGATTGTTGCTATGGCACCGTTACCGGATCAGAAACAGATTTTGCTTTCATTGTTACCCGGTGGCTAACAATGAGTTCACTGAATACCTGTTTGCGAGTTTTAAAGCGCTAAGTCTGGAAGTGCAGAAGGCTACGATAATCTGACTGTGGGCTTAATGAGAGCTATAATGCGGGAATACTTCGCTGCGGTCGAAAATCGGAAACAAGCGGAAGTGAAATGCGTGAGGCGAAAAATCGATACGTATTCGATTCAAAAGATTGAAGATCCCATCTGCGATAAGATCATTGATTCCATCTTAGCTTAAAGACTTTGCTTCCAAAGTAGGTTCTAGTTCAGTGGACTATTTACAGATGGATGATTTTTTTGCAAAGGAATGCTCAACTTACGAAGCTTGTGGTTTTCCCGTTCACTCGAAGTTTTTCGTGCATACGTCGACTGGTGCTGAAGAAAAACTGAGCTCACCATAAAACAAGACTTTTTACAAAGTGAGAAACTAAACAGTTGTCCTAGATCACTTTCCCACTTTGTTGCGCCCCACATATGCTTATCATTCGGAAATAATATCGAAACCCTTACTGAAGCCAGGGTTCGCGTTCCTCTTTAACGTTTCATTCCATCATTTTGCTACCTTACATCGAACCTTGCCTATGGGCTCTTGTGCATTGGAACTTCAGACTGTTAAAACTAAATCTATGAACACACGCAGAACACCAAGCTGAAGATTGGTTCAGTGTTCTGCCTAAATGAAGATACGATCTCAGTGAGTACCCCGGAATCTTCGATTCTCAGAAGATGCAGAACCATGGCTGCCTTCGATGCCCTACGGCTTTCCCACATCGTTCCATGATCAGAGAAGGAGAACGATGGTTACCTTAAAACTGCCGTTTTGGGTATCCTTCGAATAATTCGTCTCATCTTTTCCCTTTCTAGAGCTTGAATTTCAGGATCTCCAGTGTTGAATTTGGTGAAGTAGTGCACCACAGTAAATTCCACCATACAAATAAGTAGAGTCGTGTAACAGATCCATATGTATATGTCCAACGCTGTCGGAAAATTAACCTAAACATGTAGAGAGACAAGTAGGATGATCGTAGTGTTCAAGGAGATGTGCACCGAACCGCTCAGATTGTGCTTGACACAATCAACTGGCCTAAGCAGCGGATGGCTACTTTTGACCATGTAATAAAGTACTCTACGTAGAATAAGAGGAGACAGTTCAGCCATCAACTTAGGGTTAACTATGCAGGAAAGGGGAAGTTTGGTATTCAATGCGCAGAAAAGGGTAGGGTTCTTTAATAGCAACTGTTCGGAAACTTTCAAAACATTTTGGAAAAATCCGGACTGTTGCAAAGCTGATAATTTCCGAATGATCTGGAGCGAATGTGCGTCTGATTTTCCACTGAGGAGATGAAAAAGAGGAAACCCGTGCTAGTCATTGAACAACAAAATTGAAGCTTTGATTTCGTTTCGATTAAAAATTGATTTTTGAAGCTTTTTGAAGCTTGATGTTTCGGAGCTTCCGTGAATGCTCGATTCTGACACAAAGCCAATATCGACCAAATCACTACAATAAATGCTAGAGATACTTAAAGATGGATCAACCGAATTCAGCGTTCAACAGCTACTGCCTCACCTACAAAACAAAATGGTGAGTGGTGAAATCATTTGTAATTTCCCAATTCTGTGTACACTTTTCGAAAGTAAAACTGAGGGGCATAACCACTATTTTTGATGCTCAAAACTAGAGTTGGCACAGCCCTTTGAGTTGGCTGGAGGGGCTATGTAAGTGTCACAGCAGATCATTCATGTTAACCCACCTTTGGAGCGTCAGACTTGCTGTCATTAGCAATGAGAACCATTGTTAGAACAGATGTTATCCCTGAAAATGCATTCTGGTTTCCTAACAGAAGTTCTCTACCTCTGCGCTTACCCATGCCTATTCGATCTCCAGTGGCTTCGCGATTTGTCCAAAACGCTACCCAACAGAGTAGAACAATCAGCGTACAAGGTACGTAGAAGTTCATCAGAAAGTAGCCAAAATGTCGTTCGAAATAGAATCGGACCTCGAGGGCAGAATAGTTACCTTAAAATGAGCAGCTGACGTTGATAAAAAGTAGTTTTCCAGAAATAATTGGTGGTGATCAGATGCAATGTAAAAAGGGGAGTGGCTGAAGTTTCGGATGGTGTCCCAACTACAGTAATCTCCCTCACAGATCTCCCTACCTCATAATATGACGGGAAATTTTGCCATACAAATGTAAGGGCTCCAAATAAACAAATCAAAACTTAAAAAAAAAACTCTGCATTCAATAAAAAGAAAGAAGTACAAAATTTAGACATCCCAAACGAACATCGAAGCGAAGGAAACACTTACGATCCCTCGTCATATTTGTTGCATTGAACACCTTAAATCCTGTCATAGAGTATTGTGCCAAATCGGCAATTCCTTCGTAATCCATCTGCAATGAAGAGAGTGTGAGCTGTATGAGGAAAGCTGGAACTGTTACAATGAGGCCGAATGCTCCGCGACAGCCGCGCGCGGCGGATCGATTGCACGAAACCGTTCCTACTGCCTGTCTCCCCGTATCGGAGCTATGTAAATAAGGAGAGCGTACCTGTACCCCTCTGTCCGTACCCATCACTTTCCAGTCGTACAATAGCTCATCAGCACCAAATGCATACGAACCAATTACTAATCGACAAGCCTGAACATATTGAAATTGTGGATATTGGTAATTCGAGAGAAATACTGTACAATTATTTCAATGTGATTTAAAAAGAAAGGACTTAGCAAGTAAGCGCTCGATTTTGAAATTTGAGTGAGCGTCGGGCTTTGTTATTGTTTAATGGTGCGAGATTGCCCTCAAGAAGCTCCAGAAGTAATCCCAACCATTCATGATTGACGTAGCCACTTACCTACTTGGCATTAAGCTTTACTAAGCCAACATTAAGACGTTTTGATAAAAAATTTTTGTGAGCATTTCATTTTTTAAATTAGTTTTAATTTCTTAATGCCCAAAAAGAGCTGCACCTGTTTATCCAGCGGGTACCGATTCATTGCCATGGCACATTTTCCTAAAGTGATCTGGTTGCCGTAAGTTTGAGTGTGAATTCTGTGAAAGGTTTTATATCTGCTGTTATTATTTCTGACCTTTGATAGTGAGCCTACTGCTGTACAGGACGGTGCCATCAGGGTGAAGCCTGACAAGACGATTGCTGGTCGTTATGCTGTGTGTGTAGGAGCGGGCGCCATTCCAGAAGTACTGAAACTCCGTGCTGTGGAGGAAAATTGAACACAAAAAGTTTTTGATTTATTTTACAGAATCTTGATACAAAAATATTATTCGAAGTCATGGGGCCGAAATTAAGATCACTAGGGTCGGTGCACCGTCTAAGCTTACTGATCTGTTGAACCAAAACTTAAACTCCTTGCTCTCACTGTGTCAGGTTTCCATATTTTGTCCAACATCGCCATGCTAAGTGAGAGCTGCTGGCTAGCTGTCCCGTTGAATTTCAGCCTTGAGTCGGTCCAAGTTTGTCGGAAGTAGCAATTAAATGAGTATGTCTAAATGTGGAACATTTCAGTATTACAAAGTCACATCGAAATATAAGGATAAACGGCAGATCCTCTACCTTTGATCAGTCTCCATTTGGTATGCCCCCTGTCCCCGGCATTACAATCCCATTCAGGAGCGAGAAGATCTCTTTGAATGCGTTTCTGTACAAAGGACATACGGAGACTAGGCTTCTCTCATAATTACAATACTTTTCCCGGATAATGCTGGAGGGAAAATTCGCTTTCCTAAATCTTCCATTCAAAAAGACTACCCCTGGAATTCAAATTCAAACTCCAGGGGCAGCCTCTTGAATGAAGTAGCGGAGCTGCCCAACATCATTACTCATGGATCCCAAGCTCATACATCACAAACTACCACCATAGCATATATTTTGACTGCTTTCGACTTCTTGAAGAGAGGATGCTCAGCGTTCGTTCCCTCCCATTACTAATTTTAGACCCCCAGATGATGATAGTCTAAAAGTAACTCATGAGTAGTTCACACAGAGACTCCTGACGTGCTACGTCTGATCTCAGGAGTTGGGTAAGATTGAGCTTAATTAAGTGGAAGGGTGTTTTTGGGAAGGTGGGTAGAAAATGGATTGAAACAGTGGAAAAAAGTTTAAGTAGTGACTGTAGAAAGGGGGAGACGAGAAACCAATGTTAAGGAAATTAAGAAAGAACAAACGAGAATTTAAAGAAAGCATTGACATAGAGAAAAGGTTTAAAATTTGAAATGGGAGAAAGTGTAATAGAAAACTATAAGGTAAAGGCCACGGGATGGCTAAGCTTTCCTTCCAATCCACGGATTCTTTGGTCGATTTATAATGAACAGTTTATAACGTAAGTAACAGTCTCTGTTACCTGGTTTCTTCAAGGAATATAACAAGAAAGAACAATTTGACGTTGGACACTCACATTGGTAAGATCGGCAATAGGCCCCATCGTGCGAACGGCAATATCGATGTATACCGTAGTTCTTCTTACTGTAATACCAAGAGAGATATGAGTGAGCAGTGATTATATATTAAGCGTTGAATATTGGAGTACCATTGAATCCTGGTCTGAGATGACGATCGTATCCTTCTAGGATTTTATTGAGCGTCGTGGTCACATTGCTGGTCACTCTGGAAAGAATAGTTTTTTTAGTGTTTTCCTTTTTGGCGGTAATCGATCACAAATTGGCCTCTCATTCGAATTCCATTTAGTATCGTAGTGGCGTAGTGAATGCGTATTTGGCCTATACAATGTCTTGTAGTGGCCAGCTGATGTACAAGTCAGTGCTTTTATCCTCCCAAAAAGGAGTCTGGTACCTTTTAATTGACACCGGAGGAATGGAAGGCATGGTCTAGGCGAGTGACGATCCGGGATTCGAGCCCGTGCGACCGTGAGTGTGCATGGTGTGATGGTGCCATACTTGTTACCAGACCACCTTCGGTTGAAACTATAATTATGAATGGGGAATGTACATTCATTTCGAAAGATTTGTTGGAACATGCTCACGAAGGCCTTTTACGTTCTCAGAGTTTCAGTATAGTCAAGTAATGGCGATCCGTGTGAATGATTTTTCAGAAATTTATCGGCAGGAAGTGGGCTTTCTAATGTGACCCGAGGTATATTTTTATGAGGTTTTCGTTTTCCCGTCATTCTCCACCATCCATGGATTGGCCCTAGCTGGTTAATCCATGGATGGTGGAGAATGACGGGAAAGCGGCTGGTTGGGCTGGGCTGGGAAATGGCTGGAATTTTTAGGGTTCACCTTTCGCGTCGGTGCTCTTCTGGTCGAGACGTTTCATCTGTTGAAAATCGTACATTGTCGATCCGAAAAGGAAGGCCTTGAACAGAAATTAGAGGCAGTAGTATGAAGATGAACACATCCTCCTGCATTTTCTGGAACTCGATGAATTGTCGGAGTACGATAGCAGTTGAATGCTCAAAAAAAAGGAACATATAGCAAGAGGTGTCAAGGGGTTATTGAGAGGGGGTCTTCAGGGTGAATATAGCATGGTATCTACTGTAGAAGATATCTCAAGTGACAACAGTTGGACGACGATCCGTGGCTCTGGCTAAAAATTAAGTTTATCTACCAGGAGGAGATTTGAAGGCTACTTAGAGAGACTTGTGAACGAATGGCCCGTTGAAATTTGCATAACAAGTGAGCGATGGCGTTGAAAGACCCCAAAAAATCGCAGGAATAATGATGGGCTCGTGAAAGGAGCCTCTAGGGGAATAGCGAGCCGTCAACGCTAAAATCAAGACCACCAGAAGCATTGGCGAATATCTAGGTTCATAGTAGGCACGCTTGGATAATCTTGAAAAATTAGCAGCAGCAATCGCTTCAGCAGAGTGTATTGCCCCTAGCGAAGATATGAACTCCGATGCCTCTGATGCAGTCTTTCCTTCTTTATCTGGACCATTCATCTTGATTGGTATTCATAATTATGAAGGGAAGAGGAAATATCATCCTTTCCTAAAGGAAAACACCCGTACTGGAACCCGAACCTCTACGTCATCCCTCTTACTTCGTACCGCTACTAACTGCTCTATATACATACAGTGCGATGACCGCTGAACTCTGTTATCTGTTCGACAGCGTGGTATAACACAGAAGGAACGGTCCCGTAACATCATTTCCAATTTCGCAGATTTGGAGCGCAGATTTGAGATTGACGTTAGAAAACACCTACGTCGTTCCAAATCTCATCTTGAGTGACCATTGCGACAAGGTATCCTCTTGTTGGTAGAGTCTGTTGCGTAGAAAGTTATGTAATGTTGAATACCGGTATCAAAACCGCGCATTATTTATCAATCAATCTGTTATTTGTGTACTGTAATAGTCATTTGACTACTGTGGTGCAGCTCTAAATCTGCTGCAAGTATTCTTCTGCCCTGAGTTCGACTGGAGTTTGTTATCTTTCATTGTTAGCAGCACAGAGGGATAATGTCGAATTCAAAGTTCTACTTTCCTAAATCATAGAACTCTTTTTAAACCTACTAGTTAAAGATGTAAAGATAGTTGAGTATAATCTTCATCATGCCCCTATTTACATGAAGATACCACTTTGATATTCAATATACCTTCAATAATATACCTTCAAACGCTGTGCAAGATGCTTTGTGCTCCAGCCTCACGCACTCCAAGCACAAATCAGTAAAATAATTGAATGTAGAATGAGCTCGACCCTTTGTTCATCTTGGATATTCTTGAAGTTACCCAGAGCTTTGTATACATCATAAGATTGGACAGTTATGGACGAATCTTCAGCCTCGGACGGGGCTCGAATCCGTACTTGTGCTGTCCGGGTACCGGCTCTTGTTCCTTACACTTCATCACTCATCACTCATCACATCACATCACATCACTCACGTCATCACCTTGTATACTTTTTGAGGATTTAGTTTTCCTCAGGCGACTGCCGGTTCTTAGAATACGCGTCCGTCGTCACATGCCTAGTTCGCAAGGCAGATAATCAGAATTGATTCTCATTTCCTCTCACCTGACTAGTTACCTTTCCTAATCATAGATTACCCTGAGATTCTCCTAATTCGTTGAAAGCCTATCGCACCTACTTGCTTCTCAATACTTCATCCTGGACCGTATTTTTGTTGGTAACAGCTGTTATCCTCTTAAATTGCTCCACGTCATGTCACATTTCTTTCTTTCTTTCTTGCTGTCTTCGTAAAGCAGAATATCCGCTGAGTGGCGTAGGCTTGTAGTGAGATAGTTTTTCATTATTCTAGCTTTTTGAGGACCTGCAAGACGACGAACAGTCTCCACTCCACCTGTGCCCCTTCATGCGACCTTCTTGCTGCTTTTTAACTAGTATATTCTTCTCTTCTGCCCTTCCTTCTAGTGGAACGCGTTTTCCCTTTCGGTTTCATACTTTGCCTTCACGCCTCTTAATTTCATTCTTCTTGACCTTCTCCATTTTTCCAAGTTGTTGAGATAGGGCCATAGAATTTCCGTTTTTGTGCTGTATAGCCCACCCTTGGGTGGATTCGAATAAAATAAAATCGTAATAATCGTACTGTCTTTGCTAGCGGTGAGGCCCGAACTCAGTCGTGAGTCACTAAAAACTCGTGACAATTTACCCGTGCCAGCTACTTGTACATGGGAATCAATAACTTGGCGTCAAGGGTTAGAGTGAACGATCATATCGCGCGTTCATGCTCCCCTGACAGCGAGGGTCATACAAGGTCACGGCCGCTCTCTTTTGAACCCCGCGCTCTCCATTGTTGTAATCGGTTCCCCGCAGATTTCACTGCCCATCAAACTACTGCAGATTCCCTCTGAGTTTGTCCTCTGATGAGTGCTGTTGGATGAACTCGACACGTACTGTAAATTGACCCATTGTGATTAATTTCTAGCCGGTTCGTTGCTACTACACTCTGGACGACGTGACATCCTTTGGGTGGCCTTCTTAGAGTACACGAGTGATTGATCTTTCCCACAAAACACGCCCGTCGTCTACTACAAATGCACTTGACTACCTCACCTCGTAGCATTCTCACCTACAGCTGGTTAAGTGTCTCTTTTTCATCACTCTACGCCAGCTTCTCCTAAGCCCAGCATTTTATTGATGTTTGTTCTTTTGATAACAATTTCCCTTTGTTCCCTGCTTGCTTCCCTTTCCTCCTAGAACTTATTCCCATCTTCTTGTCTTCCACATTATTCTGAATTGAACGCATATTTTTGAAATGCTCCCTGCATACGATCGCTCACTATTTTTCGTTTTATGGATTGGATGATTCTGAACATAGCGCTACATGCTAAGCAAAAGATGGTGTCCGAAGATTTTCTACAAAATCCCTGTCCTTAGCCCGCACTCCAGTGGGGTCTGTTCTTGTTCAGCTAACTTTTTCCTACACTGTTGGCTAACCTAATCCCATGCACCCACTCAAAAGGGTGCTAATCTCCTTCGTGGGGCTGCCCATTGAGAGAGACCTTCTTTAGAGATTGAAACCTTGCAGATCTGAGCTACCACTACGAATCGTAAACAAACGTATATTTGAGAGTTTGATTGAGCTCCACCTCCAAGGTCTTTCTGTTTTTCAAAGATCCAGTCCAGCAACGCGAAGAAAGGAAAGAGTCCCTGGAATCTTGCGCTGAATAACCATCGACGTAAAGACTTCTGAAGCTCGCTCTGCCTAGACTTTACATGGAAAGATCATTGATTGATTCTCCACCAATTTTTTCGTTATGCAGGGGGTCAAGCCATGATTGAAGAAATTTCTTGATTCATGAGTACCAAGCTATTCGTACTGATGGAATCTTGAAGCTTGGAGAGCTAAGAATGCTGAATCTTTCTCTTCAGTTTTTCCCGTTCTTCCTTTATGGTAGAACATTCAGTCAATAGCTGCTGATTGTTGTTGTGTTTATTAAGCCTGTGGGTTGTTGAGGATAGAGCATGTCATCTGAAAAGCGAGAATCAGAGTTGTTGATTCTATTGGACAAAACATACTAGACCCTTGTGCGCATTCAATGTGGCAACATTCCAGCGTCATTCACATTTCCATTACATGGCCTTGGCCCATAATCCTTGAGAAAGGAGGAGGGAAATGACGAGGGGCGCCGCTACTACTTTCATGAGTCAGCAATCAGAATTGTCAATGCTAGTCGTGCTTGCCCTCCCACCAACCCTAGTTTTAATGGTAGCAAATTCTCTAAGATGGTAAAAGGAGAAATTTTCATCTTATGTCCTCAGGTGGCGAAATATAGCTGCATTCTTGCCTTTCGTTTCCCTGGTTACATGGTTTGGGTTACAGCGGCCCGTCCTGTGCAGAAGAGTTAACCGAGCCGCTAGAGAAGCTGGGAGAATCATAAGATGGTCATTTTTTGCATGAATTTTGCAGAGAGGCACGTTAGGTGAATTCCGTAGAGTTCTCAAGTGTGGGCTTCCCGAACCATAAACGTAGAATCCTCTGCTCGCTACATTCTACACTAAACGGATAATCATGAGCCCATAAATAAAAAGAAGCGGGTGGCAGCTAGGTTATTACATCCCGCCCACAAATATCCCCTAAGGTCAATGGGATGACGAGTTCATAGTGCTGAGAAGATTGCCAGCTTCCACTTGTTGTTGACGAGCTGCCGACGGCATGTTTGGGTACTTTTGGTACATGTGTGGGCCGTTCTCTGCGGGCATGTACTTCCGCAATGCACTGTGCCGCTCCGCCCATTCCTGCTTGAATGCTGAACTTCACATTACGAGGAAGGGCAAAGGGAGCTATTCACGACGAGACCGAATGTATCGCCATTTCGGGTGGGGGTGCCTGTACTTCACATGTATTGGATCGCTACCCCATTTCGTCCTGGGATTCAGTAGCAAACGGCATCGCTGTCAGTTGGTGCTTGTGCTTGCTGAATGCATCGTATTGCAGCTTTCTGAGTGTAAAGGACTTATGTCACCTCAGAGTTTGACCTTGTGGTAGTTCGAATTTTGACTTTGCTTCGGTGTTCTATCTTTTACTGCCGTATTTACCTACGCACTTCGGCCGTGTTCCAGTTTGATGACTGCCCCTTCGCCAAGTTATTCAATTCTAGCACTTATTGGTCGAGTGGCATTGCGTTCTTGCTGGAACTTGACAGTTTCCGGTCTATGGTTATACTTTACAGTAATGCATATCGTTTATTCTGAGATACTGATAGGGCACTGCCACGCGTCTTTCTGGCTTAGATCGCTTAGTGATGTCATCCGATTACCAATGTGCTTTGAAAGGAATTTCTTCTTCTGGCTAACAGCTATAAACTACACAAAACATATCTATAAGCAGAGCTTTGAGGTATTTTGGTTTCAATAGGCCTGTTTCTGGAGTGCGCCACGCATTTGACTTTCATTCAGAATCGGTGGATACGTAAATAGCCTATACATTCATTTGCAGTGTTTAGCTGACATAAAAGTCAGTGCTTTTACCTTTTCGGAGAAGTTTGACACCTCTATCATTTCGCTGAATAGCTAAAGCCGAAGGGACTTGTTCTCCGGTGGCATTTTCACATCGTTCAATTAGAAATTGTCTAAAATCACTGAACGTTCCAGTTTCATCTCTGCTCGGTTTTTCATCTTTTCAGGTTTAAAAATCTGATTTATTTGTAAAGATCTCATTTAGTTTGTTATTACTTACTTCAAAAAAACATTCATTAAACATGGAATAAATCGTAGAATAAATTGTAGTTATCTTGAATTGTTGGGGCAAGCTTTACATGATTTTCGTGAGTTCTCACATTTTCAATTAACAACCAGAATTGTACTAATCGAATTTTGTTTTGCATTCGAGAACTTACTCATCTTTAATTTGAAAGGGAATTCGTTCTAATCATTAGTTGATATGAGAGAGTGTTATTTGTCCTTCTCCCCTCCACAGAAAATAGGCTCATTGGCGTTGAATATCCATAAAAGTTCAAACAATAAAGTCTTCGGGACTTCAATCAATCCCGTCTGAGAGATGCGCCCATACATTCGACTTCCATTCAGAATTGTTAAGGGGTAGTGAATGCGTATGTGGCCCATGCCCATCCTATGTACGAGTAGGTGTTTTTACTCTCCCAGACAAGTCTGGCACCAGTTGACCCACCTCGAAGAGACAGAAGGCTTGGTTGGGCGAAGCGGATGTCCAGTCAGGATTCGAACCCGGAACCATGTATGTGTGTGGCATTGCGTCATTTGCCCCTCCACCACCTCTGCCTATTCAATACCCATACCTCTAATGAACGGGGAGGCTGCTCATCGACGAATTTTGTTTTGTTTTTCGCTTTGCCATGGTTTTTATCATGTAACAACCGGCAACGTACTATCTTCGATAAATGTTTGGAGCATACTTATCTACGGAGGCTACGGGGTCATTGATAAGATACGACAATTTGATTTAGTGCCCTTCATTTGTTAGGTTGGGAGTTCGGGATGAAACGACGAGGCAGTGGGGGAGATAATTTTAGAGTTCGCATGCACTTAGGAGCGCACGTGGGTCTCATCGATGCGTGCGTGCGTTTTGCCCGATCGTTCTTTGTTGTCACCACCCATCGAAACTCTCGATAACAAACCAGTATAAAACCAGGTAGAGATGATCTGGGACTGTAATGATACTTCCTGATGCTCCATTTTCTGTTGCGTTCCTTTCTATCGCACCTTTTTCTTGAAAACAACTCCTAAGAAAAGGTGGAGTGTCCTTTGAGGACTAGGAAGTATAGTGGGGGGATTTCCTATTCCTGACCGACTACCGGGAGACTCATTGGACCAGTTGGGGTAGGGAAAATAGAACGTCTATTTCTATCCTCTCGGTCTTAATGCTGACAAATGTCGTCAGCACAGATTTCGTTGTCAGATAATTCGTATATGCCAGGTCGTTTTTCGTGATCTCCGCATTCTTCCACCCTTTCCGATAAACCTTTAATCTTCGCTTTTGCTTCGTTCTTTCGAGATTTTTCAGCCCATATCTACGGCCTGAATGACCGTTTCCCTGTGATTTTACTTGATTGATCCATGCACTGACCTCTCATTTATCAAACCTCTCAGCAACGAACAAAACCAGACAGGAGGCGACTTCAATGGGGAGCCACTCAACGAGTGCCCTTTCTCTGCGGTGTTTTCACTTTTTCCCACCTTTTCTTTCCGCTTTGGCTAGGAATTGAAGTATTCCTCTGGAACCATGGAAAGTGGTGAATTTCCCGTGACCAACTAGCGATTCATGCGACTAGTTCGGCATGAAAGGTGAAGGTTGTCTCACTTCTTTGACACCGCCATTGACGTTGAATTCTCTCGACTATTGATCCATACCGAGTACTTTGTTATGTTTTTACCTTTGGGTTTGTTGACACATTCCATGTGCGTGCTCTCTTAATCATGAAATTTTGATCTTTTTCTTATTTTTGTTCCCATTTCCTCAATTATCGTTTGTTTTCGTCCGTACTGCTTCGGCTTTGCATCGATTTCACTCATTTTCTGAAGAGACTTGGTATTTCAGTTCTAAGTAGTCGGGTGTACTGTAACACTCATCAATAACCATGGTTGGGGTGACCTCGTTTGCCGATTTACCGCCAGAAATGATCGAGAAGATTTTGGAAAAGATCGACTGTCACAGCATTCGGGCAGCACAAACTGTATGTAGGCAATGGCGGAATATTATCAATCGGAGGCGGCATCGAATGAAGTAAGCATAATTAGCTTAATTTATTCCACGAATACCTCAAAGGCAAAGAAAAAAAAAAGCGTCGAGGCATGGGAGGCGCTAATTATCCAGAGTATCTTGTCCCGTTTGTTGTTTCCCATGTCCCAATCTACTATAATGATGTCGAAACTGTTGAGTTGTTTTGAGATAGTAGTCATTTTCATTTCGAAATGATTTCGGGGCGTAATTGATGACTGCAAGTTCAATGTAGGCATCAGCTGATAGGAAATGGGTAAAATGTAGTTGGGTGGAGTGAAGGGGACACTTCAAGTCTAGGGGCTCAAGTGCAAAGAAGGAAGTGTAGCAGATTCCGGGTGAATAGTATGCTAGAAGGCGGTGCCGCTCTTTCTGGTACTTGGAACTACTCCCCTGGACCGAGCACCCTTACAGGCTCCCAGAGCATCAAGTTAAGCATCCACTTTGATATGCAAATTGTGAACCGGGCCCACCCATGGTCTTTTACCAATCCGATCTTTTTTTGTTTTTTTGGTATTGATTGCTTTTATTGATTGCATTTTATAGTCGACAACGTGTACAAGAGATCTATATCACCGATGATCAGGAAGCGGCAGTGACGTTGACGATCACACATCTATCACCATCATTTGAGGTCAGTTCGTTGGCAGTACATGAACACGAGTATTTGTCAGATGGCATGGTCGTCGCATGTAGTTCATGAGAGCAGCAGTACCCGAACACAAACAGTTGTCATGCGGGCGGTGAACCGCGTGACTGGCAAAGGGCGTCTGAGGCCCATGCATGCGTAATACTCCATGGTACACTGGGTTTTGGCTACAGAGAAATGTCCGTTTTCAGGGACAGTTTGGGTCAGATCAAAGTAAGTTCACGAAATTTTATTGACCAAAATGCTTACCATGACTATCGAGCGGTTGAGTTAGGAAGAGTCCGACCCAGTTCCTCCATCGTTCGTTTAATTTGCAACAAAAAGTCTGGCATTGTTCAGAACAGCGAACCTTTCTAACTGGCCAACATATTAGTAGCAAAAGAACTGTAAGGTACATTCCTTGCTTGAGAGGAACCTTCTGCCCCAAGCTTCCCAATAAAAGTAACCGTAGTGGTTATTGAATCAGGCAAAAGTTGGTAAAGGATGCCCTATTGACGTCCTTCTATCTATTAATTCTGCTTCCCATTACTGTGTTCTTATGAAAGGGTTCCTTCGATTGTTTGTATTTTTACTTTTTAGTTGTAATTGATAAAATGTTTGTGCAAAGAGCGATTTTTGATTTGAATGACTCATTTAGTTGGCTTGATATCTCGGCTTTATTGTCATTTTCAAAAGACAGAGGCTTCCAGGGAAAGCCGAAAAAGTCTGCTGTACCACAAAGACGAGGATCAGTATTGAATAGTTTGCTGCCGATTATCGTCCGAGCGGATTAGCTAGTCCCCCACCTAATCCGCTCAGTAGAAAACAACACGCGAAAGGTGGAACCCATAGGATACATGGGCTACGACAAAGACATTCAAGCTGAAAAGGCTGTGGCTGTATTGGTTCATTCTCCCACCCGAATGCCTCCCAGGCCTATCAGTTCTAATTGGGCAGCACAATCTCCTTCAGCTTGGTGTTCCTTCCGAAGTCTACGGGCCTCTAGGGCTTTCAGTTCCGAACGACTGAAAAATCTATCTGCTAGATTCCATTCCTAGGGGCTGTTGGTTGCGATCATCAAACGTTGCGAATATTTTTTCGGGATCTTTTTTGACCTTCTTAGGAAGACCGCGGTCTTATGGTCACATGTTTTGGAATAGAGGAGTTTTTTTTTGGGAACATATGAGAGGGCAAAGGCGATGGATGGTGAAAGCAGTAGCGGCAAGGGTGTGTAAAAACAACAGTGCACTCACAGTTAATCAGACCTTTCCCTCGAAAAAAGTCATCAATTCACTTCCTTAACGAACTGAAAGGGAGTTTAAATGCGTCTTTGACCTGGGTGGGAGCTGTTCAACAACTTGTTAAAATCAGACGATCACCTTCAAGTCGAGACCTAATCCTCCATTATCGAGCCTCATGGAAAAGGTCGGTATTAAGTAACTGACCTTTTCCTGAGAGATCTAAGGTTTCCGATGAGATCCAAAGTTTGGTTGCCCTTGACGGAGTAGTTGAGTATTCCGATCTATGAATTGAGAGCCAACCATTGGTGTCATTCGCCACTGCATTTTACTCTTAAGTCTGTATTAATGGAGTCTTAACTTCCTAATTGCAGTGGCTTAGGATGTAGCGTCAACTTATTCGATAGTTGATTGGGTTCTTAAGTTATACTCCTGGACTTACGGCATTACAGTGGCTGAGTGTCCAAGGGCTAAGTGCAGTGAAAATGCCGGGGGAAGGGCTATTCAATTTCGAGAATTCGAGCTATGGACCATTGCCTGAAGATGTGTAGAGCCTTTGCGCTAATGTTGTGCCAGTTAGCGCAGCTGAAATGCTTTCCCTCTCTGTTCTGCAAGATTTTCTGCTGCAATAGTGTTCGCGTACATACATCTCCGTGACATACACCATCACCACTACAACGATCACCCCTGATTGCTGCGTTGCTTTCTTCTTATGCTTCCTCATATTTCTAAGTACTCTGCTTTTCTTGAAATATGTGAAGGAAACTTGATCGAAAGACTTGCTTTTCAGAGCATATCGAATGTAAAAATAGCAGAATATAAGGAGCTCTTCGATTGCCTTTGGATATATGCACCCAAGAGGTTGAGCATCAGTGCTACGAGAAATGAACTTAGAACAGCTCTCGAAGGTATTCCCGACTGGTGGTTTCTCAGCATCCAAACAGTGAGTGATTTTGGGCTTTGTCCGAAGGTTTCTCTTTGTTTAACAAATTTCTTTTGTTTATCTTAACGTTTGTGTTTACTGAGTTACGTCCTTACTGTAATCCGGAGTGTTTGAGTAGACGAAAAAGCGATTTTGAGGGCAGGGTAAAGCGATACGTTGAGGGATTTTCGTGAACTGATCTTTTACCTTCTGACATCATTGAAAAGCGTCAAGTGAGGCTTCAGGCGAAGGGGTAGAGCGCTAAGGGGTAAAGCGAGTGCACGGGAGTAAGTCGCTGATAGTGAGGGATGGTGANAGGCAGAGAATTGTTTTGGTTCTGCTGCTTCTGGTTCAGGTTCTGCTGAATGGTTTTCTTTCAGCTTGGCATCTATGAGAGTGCATGTGACATCGACGCACTGTCCCTGGTGTCCAAAGCTCCCCATTGTGCTTCACTCCGTATTGGTAGGTGCTTTCCCTAGATTAATCGTAGGGAACAGAATGTTCGATCACTATCACGCCATTATTTCGCTCCTTTTCAGATCCCTGCTTCACCGTCGACAGCGTGACGTCGTTACTGGATTGCATGAGACAAATTCACGAATTGAAGTACATACGTTCGTTACACAAGGAATCGTTACGATAAGTGATGATTCTATAATTTTTTGTAGAATCGGAGACGAAACTCATGTACCACCCCGTTTCTCATTAGTCGACCTCACGGTACTGGGGTCCTAACCCTATAACGGAGCACGCGGGAACGGATTCCAGGAGGCTGCTGAAGAGTTGCTCCACCTTTTTGCTTCAAAGCACCCAACCTCAACGCTTCACTTACGAGCAGCGGTAGGGGGCAATACAACGCCCTTTTTGGGGTCGTTTTCGGGGTCTTTTGAAATCATTTGAATATTAATGAGTCTATAGTGGCATGCCACAGCATNAATTATTCCTTTGCCCGACATGAAGTCAAATGGGGTGGGGGGAAGGGATCGAACCAGAAAGGGTGAAAGGGCGATTCACATCGGAATGGTAAGGCTTAAAAAGAGGAGGAGGGAGAGGTGCAAGGGTACTGTACGAGAAAAGCTGCCCAGATTGTTTTGCTGGCAAAACTAACCGCATTCGACTTGCCAGGCTCCCCCCCAGCTACTATCTTCTTGATTTGATGTTATACGATCTGTCTCTTTCTCCGGAAACTCGACTGTTACTTTTTGCGTTTTTATGTTTGTTTGTTTGTTTACAATACTGAAGGGTGTCAAAAAATGAGAGACGGATTTCACACCGCTTTGATCGACACATGCAATCACCGTATGCGTGTCTATGTTTGAGCGGTTCATCGTATCGGGACCCTTCATCTTGAACGTAAAGATATGAACGCCCACGTCGACGTCGTCTGCAGACTAATACCTATGTCATGCTACCATATGACCTAGTTCGAAGGATCTAAGCAAGATTTTCAACGAAGATTTGAAAATTCATGTCTCCCTTCGCTTGGATACCGAAAGAGTATAGCTGAATTATAGATGGGGAATGAAAAGAATGAAAGCAGAGCTATTGAGGATGGTTCTTGGGAATGAGTAAAGGTAATCATACCATAAAGCCTCATGAATCCACTGTATAAGCCATTGCCATGCCATTCATTATGCTCCTAGAAGAAAAGTCAAGATTGGTGGGAGCAAATCTACTGAAAGGGTGGACGTTCGGGTTATATATCGCGACTTTTCAGAGAGAAGGTGTTGAGAAGGGCATCAGTCTTGGACGGAGTTAATGCGTGCGCTATTCTGCTGGAACGGCTAGTCTTGATTGCAGTAGTGCATGATAACTTAAAGGTGTAATTGTCTGAGCAAGAAGAGCTCTTCATTTTTTTATGCATGACACCCTATACCTGTGTGACAAAAGAGCAGTCTTCTAAAAAAGATGAAGTTCTAGAGCATGCCCTCTACCACCCCCGACAGCCCAATGCCATACGCCCCATGTTTTTAGCCATTTTCCGATATGAAGTGTCCTCTACCCCTCACTCGATGGCATTTACAAGTCCTGGCATCGTAACAGTCTTACTTTATCATTTCCTGGAGTGTGAGTTTATTTGGAAAAAGTCGCGATTTGTCCTTAGCTGGATGTGGGCCTGATGTCTGATTCCTATGCTGCAACTCGGGGAGGGGGGAGGGNGGGGGGGGGGATGAGGGGATGAGGGGGTCATCGTTCTCCAAATTGAAATTTTTACTGTACCTCACGAATTTCGGACCGCTTAAAGGCATCGAGCAACGTCTCCTACTCTGACAAAGAAAACCATTCAAAGTAGTATGTCGTGATGATCTCATTGATGGTGTTTTAGAATTCGAACTAAGTCGAAGACGATCACTGCCGATGACACGACTATCGATGCGTTGATACCATTATCAATTGCCTGTCCCCAGGGATTGCAGTCGTTCTGGGTCGATTCCATATCTACGGATTTTTCGCTAGCAAAAATGTTTGAACTGTTCGAGGTATGTAAAAAAGAATCAAAATCGGCATTTTCTCAAAATTTTCTTAACCCTTTTTCGAATTAACCGGTGAAGGAGTTTCGTTCAGTAGGAAACGTGGGTCCTGACAGCATAAGAGGCGAAGATGATTCGATCAGTTCCCTAAGTAGCTTCTTGGTCGGTCCTTCCGTTATTAGGGAGTCTCCGATGAAATATTTCCTTAACTGCTACCCTTCGGCTTTCTTGATGTTATTACCATTACACACCAGTCAGCAGCATCCTATGGGGCTCGAAGCTCGGACCGAAGCTTTGAGTTCGGGTTCAAATCTCATCGAATGTCTAGCCCCATAAGAGTTTGTGCGCTCATTCCTGGTGAATTGATGCCTGACGAGAACTCATATAGACTACAGTAGCTAGCTAAATGTTTACAAAAATATCAGGAATCTGGGGAAGCCTGGAGAACTAGTCTTACTAGAGTACAAGTACCGGTTCGAGTCCCATCCTAGGCCGAAGTTTTGATTACAAGTGTTCAATCTTGTGAGGCTTTTGCATCGTGTACTGCAAGGAAGTAACAGCAGTCAACAAGATCACCACAGTCACATAGTCACATCAGAGTTTAGGTTTTCGGATTTTACGTAGATGTAGAAATAAAAAGATGGTTTTTTTCCGAGTATTCCGTCGAGATTATTCGTTATTTATTTATTTATTTGAGTTTACTTATTTGGTTTGTTTGGATTATTCGTTATCGTGTTATAGGTGTCTGGGAAAGGTTGCAAGTTGATTAGATAAGAGATATCATCATAAATCTAAACAAGTTGACCCACATAGACCCCTATTATGGTAAGCAACTCGAAAATTCGAATAAATCCCGAATCACTGGTGCGGTGCGTATCCTTAGTCCTGGGCTTCGACGGAGCTTTCCCGGCTGACAGCTGCTTAATCGATTTCTATGCCTCAGTTCAGCGGTTTTATTCTTTTATTCATTTCAATTGTTTCCAGAAAGGTCACTTTTCACCACGATGTTCACTTCTATTCGAGAAAGTGCACGGATCCGAGTCAGCCCTTAGGAATTGGATTACTACCCATGCTCAACAAGTACTCTACGCATCCGAGCAGACATATAATTTTGCCTATCGTGACGTGGAAATTGGTATTTCCGTCGAGCAATTCGTGCCTTAAAATCATCACTGAATCAAACGGTTCTGTAAACTTGTAAATATAAACAAAGCAAAACAAATCAAAAGCATGTGTAATGACTAGAAATCAGGCCAATCAAGTGCCTGAATAATTTTTATAGTATTTGCATTGTTTGCAATTGAAGTGCCCTAGCCAAAGTAGTTTGTGCCTTTGTACTCTGCCTTTGATCTCAGGTCTCAGTCAACGTGTTTTATCTTATGTGATTCTTAATGTTTTTAGCCATATTTTGCTATGATCCATATCACTATAGAAAACGTTTGTAAATAAAGAATAAAGTCTCTGGTGTTAATTACTTCCATCTTCGGGATGCGCCCCGCATTCGACTCTCATTCAGGTTCGTAGTAGTGTTTGAATGCGTATGTAGTCTATACAATGACTTACGGACCCGGCTGTATTCAAACCAGTGCTTTGTCCACCCAGATGAGTGAATGCTGCCAATCAATCGACCCCGTGAGGATGCAAAGCTCCTTTTGCCTGGGCAGATGCCGGTTTGGGATTTAGGTCTTCTGACTATGCGTGGGTGATAGTGCTTCTCCTGACCCTACACCACCTACACCACCAGCCACGATTGTAAATACAGCGATAGCTATTTAGACTCTGTTACTATGTGTTATCTACTATTGGAAGCATTTTGTTAGAGGGTTAATAAAGAAATAAGAGTGAGCTTAAGTGTTCGAGTAAAAAAAACTGAAAAGTCGTTCAGTTTAGTTTTATTACCTGCAAAAACAAATGGGTAGACAGGCCCGGGAAGCATTGAGCCCCTCCCCTTCAGTGACTTCCACTTGCATGCTTTATTTTCTTGCTTTCAGAAAGTAAGAAAACCTATCATTACTAGAAATGTACGATTGATAACATCGTTCCCCAACAAAAGCAAGTTTAGGAGCTAATTGGTAAGAGGTGAGTGACGAATGGTATACGGAGTCCGAAAGTAAGTACCAACCTTTGCAGAACCATTCTTCAACTGAGCTACCAAGAAACTTTTTGATTGTAAGCTGGTTTGGGAACTATGTCCGTCAGGTATCTGAATGCAAATTCTTGTAATATAATAGAAAAGCCTATTAAGGTGCCCCTTCCTCACCGCATCGTCTATCACCCTCACCCATACGAATTAAGCCCCAGTACAAGCTCTTTGTGACCATGAAACGCTGAAATCAAAAGAACCACAACCGAAATTAAGCTATATCCAAAGAGATGGGAACGGGAACGCCATCTCGTCTCAAGCAAGTGCAACTTCCACAGAATGCCGAGCATTACTACGTAGGTAGGTTGCTAGTTTACACTTCATTCTAGCTTTGCAGCTCTTCGAACTACTCTAGCTCCATAGTGACCGGGCAAGGCTCACCGCCTTACAATGGTGCTGTATATATGCAATAATCTCAGTAGACATAACGTTTTGACTAGCTACCTCCGAGGCATGACCAGCTTATTTGTAGCTTTTTCTCCTAGGCAAAGTTCAGTCATATTCTTTTCGATACTACTACATTGGTATGCTACTAGAAAGTTGACCGATACTTTCGAGTTTGACGACTTGCATTTTATCGAACATTCCATCGGAGCCTGGGGCCATCGCTAAACATTTGGAGGTTTGGTGATTGCTATTTTTGTTTTTTCATTAGGAACTCTATCGTAATCCGGTCACATGCCCTTCACAATAACGCTGGGATTGTTTACTAGAACCTTATTGAAACCTTTTCCGTACAGAAAACTGATGACATTTCCGTCGATCTATCTGAAGGACGCTAAAGTGGTGTCCTTCAGACAGGTCGACGAAAGACCTCATCACTCCCTTTCGGGAATGATGAAAGACCGTCGATCGGATTGTATTCACCCAACAGAAATCACCGAAGTCTAAAAAACCGGTCTCCGTGAACCTCGATGGAAGAATTACGGAGATCGAGTAGAAAAGTCGCCGCCGCCGCTGTTCTTGTTGCGGAGATCGAGCTGCTATTTGATTGGGTCAGCTCAACAACATCATAATAATTACTAAAATTTATTTATTAGTACATAAATACTTAGAAAAACAACACACTTCTGAGATCTATATGGAATTCGTGAATCGAACTTAAAAGCCCTCTTTGTATGAGGAATAGCGACCAGATGCTCGTAAACAACAACAAAACAAAGTATAAACAAATGACAGAGGAAAGGTGTGATTGAAAAGCTAAAAAACACAATTCAATGGCTAATTATTGACTATGTTCCTCCATATGGTTCCTATTTTGACAAAATCAACAAATACAACGAAAAGAATGCAAAGCTACATGTCGGACCCGACCGCCCGAAGCTAAAGGTATCCCGATGTGAAATTCCCCAAATTACATTCTTTCCTATGATTCTTTCCTAAGAAGCTGTTAATGTGGGAATGGCCATTTTTGATAATGAGGTATGGCATATTTAACAGATATTTCCTAGCTGCAGAGAAGCTATAAGAACTTCTCTAGGTGATCGGCTATGACAGTTGATCGTGAGAACGTCGAAGAAGGATCTCTTTCCAGCAACTGTCAATCTGTTTAATGCGATTGTCGAATACCTAAAAAGATGTCAAAAAAATTAGCTTTTCGGATTTCTACGTCTATTTTGAGGATACTGTTAAAGTCGACAGAGCCTTCCATCGTTCTATTTGGTCGAACTGGTCTCTGAGGACATAGCCAGACATCTACATATCGGCTGACCACCATTTGAAGGCTTTCGTATTGGACCCTCTTTCAAAGTCCTCAGCTGATGAGTGGCACATCCCGGGAGGGGATTGAACAACGTTGGGGCACGTTACGAATTAAACCAACATTTTGTAAAAAAAAAAAAGATGCCCAGCTGCCAGTGCTATTTACCCCAAGAGAACAGGAGTGACTAAGGGGGTCTGGATCAATTCTGTTTAACTACGCCTGCAACTTTCAAGAAGCATCCAGTCACTGAGAGGACAAGGAAAGGTTGTGGAAAGGTCAGCCTCATTCAGGACAAGCTGAAAGCCTCGTACTTTTTCAATCAATGGATTTCACGAGGATGAAGAGTTCCGATGGAGTAAATTCCATGGGTTTTCCTTGGCACTGGCTATGCTGACACATTGATAAGAGCTAACTCCACTACCAGGTCAGAGGTACGCCAGCTTTTCAAGACATTCTTGCGGTTCATGGATGTGCCACATGGTTCTGTGAAGTCGGATCCTTCTCTAACGGTACTTTTACATGAAGAAAAGTATTCGCCAACGAAGTCAACCGAAAGCTACACTGACGGTTCGAAACAACCCATTTTCTCAGCCCTAAATGCTCTTTCTCCTTGCTCATGGGTCTTTTTATCGAATCATATCAAAAGTGAACTGACCTTGCCAGCCATTGCTGGTTTCTCGTTGATATTCAACATACGTATCTCATCGCTTTTTGAAACAGGCTCCCAGTTGAAAGGTAGGCCAGGGATGTTGGGATTACTGTAAAAAATAAGGATCATATGCTGAAAATTATAAAATTCCCCTAAGAAAATCTCTCCATTCTGATCAGCGCTCACCCTGTCTTCACAAACTGCATAAAGCTAGTGCTTGTCCATTTGCTGATCTTTCGATCTTTTTTCGTCATCGTAAATGGTGACGAGAAATAGTTGCAATCAAACAGATAGATGATATCAGAACAGTGTGTTCCAGCTGGAATGAGCTCTGCTTATGTTGAAGGATGTATTGAAGAAATACAGCTTAGGAACTCACTCATATAAGGAATCATTATAGGGAACCATCCCCACATGGCTCTACTGGTATAATCGAAACAATAGGCATATGTCGGTTTGTCGTGTTTTTGGCTGTGTTCCAGGTATCGGTAGCAACCAAAATTGGCAAAGGTATCCGATAAACACTGAAAACAAATGGATGAACAAATTAAAATGAAAAGGAACATTGAAGGGAGTACGCCACGATCTCAACTTCTATTCAAATTTTAGAAAGCGTAATTCATTAGCCTATTCTCGTGCGGAGATATTTTATCAGTTCACCAGAGTGCTCGAAAAAACTTCGAGATGACTGTGACAGAAGCCAATCCATGACTTGGCCACTGACCAGGCACAATAGCACCACCTGCCACCCACTGCTCCGCCACCTAGCTCTATTTGGCTACTTTTCGGAATATAATAACAAATTTTTGTAAAGCGGTGGAGCCAAGGTTACATTCAGGGCGGCATTCGTCGTGCATCCGCTATTCTACTCGCTCCCTCGCTCCAAAATCGGCATGCCTTCTGCTCTTCTCTTAGGGGCAGTTGCCAATAAAACTGTGAGAGTCTGTATATAACGAAGAACTGCTTTTTATGTTGGCTAGAAATGCAATGTTTCCATTGATGCCGAGGAGTAGTTGGAGACGTGGCGTATACCGAAAGGATAGTTCAAAGATGACCGGTCATCTTCTTTCCGAATGAGACTACTCACCGTTACGAAGGCGTTTTGCATAGATTTTCGATCGCGACGTAGATTTTTGAGGTCGCCGTAAACCCGTGCGACCACTTCCTCCAGCTCGGCAATGTTTAGTTTGGTCTTACGAGATAATTCATGAAGGAGTCTGTCCATGTCCTTGCCAGTGCCTCTAACCGCTCCCAGAGCCACTAAACTCCATCATTCACTATTATGTGGGCTTAGGTTCGGAGATCGCCAGTCCAAACGATCAAAAACTCACTGAATAGCAATGATTCCTGTCTGCCGACACCTGCGATCGAGTCCATCGATGGCGCTTCAGCACGAAGTTCGGAAATCGCTTTCGGAAGGATTTCCCCGTCAATCACGGGCGCCAGCGGGAGGCGGGCCTCGTTGAAGAATACGTCATTGCCTATCATATGCATACCGAGCCTGAAGAATTAGGGTATTTTAGGGAAGAGGATGAGAAAATGATGGTTGATCGATCGAAATGATCAAGAGAAAAGGCCTGGTAGTACCTTTTGGCCGGCACAGTTCGCATGAAGTCCATCATGTCAACGCTCTCCTCCTCCTTTGAATTGTAACCTTCAAAAGGACTGATCATCAGCATACTACAAAGCAACAGCAAGAACCTGCCGAAAAACTAAAAAGATACCTTCTGGGCGAGGTTTCCAGCCAAGTTTAAGAGCCTTCTGCCGACAATACTCGGCACACTTTTCTTTTGAGGTAGTTGACCAGTAGCAAAAGGAACTCCCACCCATGACGATTTTCCGATGGAACATGTCTGAAGGACAGTAATCGATAAATGCCTGGGAAAAAAGAAATTGGGAAAAGCCAATCAACCAAATGTCTGCTCACCACGGGAGAGCGGAGATATTGAGAGCAAGTCGGCAGATACAGCTCCAGCACTCTGACCAGAAACCGTAATCCGATTTGGATCGCCTCCAAAATGATGGATATTCTCTTTGGTCCATTTCAAGGCCTGGAAAAAAANACCTTGAGATTGGAAAGCCAGAAAGAGCTCAAGCAGGACTCGCCTCAAGTTGGTCCCAAAGACCGTAATTGCCCTTGGCGACACCGTCACCTGTGCAGAAAAAGCCCAGATAACCGAGTCGATATTGAATGGTCACGACGATTACTTCTTGACTGACGATTTGCCTGAAAATTGCAAATCACCTATTCCATTGAACTGATCCTTCTTTAGACCATCGCAGACAATTCCTAAAGACTGCAAGGGACTTCCAGAAGAAAAGGACCAACCTTATCGTGTTCTCTGGCTTGTACTTTACTGCAGAATCCATCATGAATCCTCCTCCATGGATATAGAACAACACAGGATAGCTCTGCAATGAGTAAACTACTTCAGAGGCGCTAACAAGAGCAAAGCAGGCCCTCTTTGCTCCTAAGGGCTTTCTAGGAAACTTCCATGGCTAATTTACCTTGGTGGGATCAATTGGTGGAGCGAAAATGTTCAGATAGAGACAGTCTTCACTTTGTGGGGTGGAAACAGTAACCTTATCCCAGAACATGTCTTCTTGAACAGAGCGATTTCCAAATTGACGGCATTTTTTCACTCCTTCCCACGGCTCCATACGTTGTGGTTTCTGGAAGTAAAGGTCTTTCTCATTCAACACTTTGACCGTCGACCTTGACACCACAAAACAGCCATTTACCGAATTGCCGGCTGAGATTTCTCCTGTCTGGCTTCCACTATGCCCGAGTTTTCCTCGTTTTCGGGTGGACCCCTCCCTGGATTTTCAGCTTCACATTACCATCTAAGTGCAACCCATTTTGATGACCCTTCGGTAAGAAACATCGTCTCTTTATTCCAGGATGATGATAAATCCTAATTGGATTCCCCATTTTGTTGGGGATCAATCGTATTTCAAATCGAAGGAGTAAGCCCCTCTCAGATGGTCATTCCGTAGTCATATCTACATTGGACACGGGAACAGATTCGGATGGTCTCTTTGACAGAATCGACTTCATAGCAACTTGAACTCCAAGGTCCCTCGATAACTACAGGTGTCGAAGTGCCACCGACAAGTGTCAGCGTTCCAAATTGCAACAAATGCATCAACGTTCAGCTTTCCTGCCAGGAAATTCCAACAGCTAGCCTATCAAGTCCCCTTTAACCAGTCCGATACGAGTGTCTATCGCTTTTTGGGTATCAGATTTCTGTGGTACATCTTCTTCTTTATCACCGAAGATATACACAGCTGACCGAGGAGTATAAAAGAGAACGTTCCCTGAACTGGACGCCCAATTCAATGAAACAACTAGGTTCCTTTTTTCAGTTGAAAGTGACAGCCGTAGTGAAAAAAAAAGCAAATTCGTTTCTTCACAACAAATATGGGAGTTCACGAAGTTCAAAGCTAATAGAACCGTCTCAGAACTACCTACCTTGAAGCGTAACTCTCCCATGGGTGGTTTCGCATAGGGCACGCCAAGGAAGCAATCGGCCACGATACCGTTTTTAGTCACATAACGCTTGCCTTGGATAAGCCCGTAGTTGGTTTTCACGAGACATTCGGTACTCCTGGCTTTGCATGCAAGAAGACCACCCTTGCAAATGGCATGACTTGAAATCCGAGATGAAACTGAAAGATCGGTATAAACTCAGGCTTAGCAGAACCAATCCAAAGACTTACCCCTCCTTCGGACTTTCATGCTCTTCCTGGGAAGTTGACGATGAATGAAGGATGGTGAGGTACGCGCTTTCAGGAAGAAGCCTGTCTGTAAAATTACTCCTGTAGTGAATGGTATTGCAGAATGCCGGTAACACCCTTTTATATGGACGATCGGGTGTAAGAAAAACGTCATGCAAATAGGGTAATAGCATGATGATAGAAGAGAGTGTAAGGGGCGGTGGTGAATCACATAGACCGTAGCCACGACAGCAACCCAGACGTCCACACTTGTTACTTGTTACTAGTAAAGGTCAGTGACTAGACTTTACCCACTGGCTTCTCTGTTCTCATTAATGAAGAGCGATTAATTCGCGTACTATGAACTGCCATTTAACAATTCAAAGAGATAGCTTGAAAAACGAAGAAAGGCTCGTTACGATTTCATCCAAAAAAGAGAACGTGAAGTCGCTGATGGAAGCGATGACGTGGACAGCGTAAATCGAATTGTTTCGCGATTTACTGCATTACGCTATGCAGCTCCGATTCAGTTCCTCAAGAATGTTTGTTTGTTTGTGCACAAATTTATACTAGAGTAAGTAAAGTTCAGGCAACGGTAATGTCAATGATTTCATATACCTGTCAAGCAGGAATAGATAATACAATAAAGTCTTCGTCGTCACTCTATCCCATCTGAAGGATGCGCCCCGCATTCGAATTCCATTCAGAATCGTAGTGGCGTTTGGATGCGTATGTGCCCTATTCAACGGATAGTGGTGGCCAGCCGATGTGCAAATCAGTGTGTTTATCCTCCCAGACAAGTCTGATACCAATTAATTAACTTCAGAGGGATGGGAGGCTTGGCTGACTTGGGATATCCAACCATCATTCAAGCACGTAACCATGAGTGTGTGACAGAGCGCCACTTGCCACTACACCAACGCCCTTCATGCCGGAAACCCCAGAAAATTTGGAAAGTTGATTAGCGTGGTTGGTTTCCGTACCTCAAGCAGGCTTTTCACTATATTGCCCCCAGTAAGGTCGTAGAAGAGTTTTCCTGGTTTCCAGGAAATTCCTAAGCGCACTACTCGAACTCATGGAATTTCGGATGTTTTTGTAAAAAAAAAGAAGCAAATGTTCGGGAAGGTACCAGAATGAGAATGATATGCAACAATCGGAAATGTTTTCAAATTGAAAGGAAAAAGCAGGAATGATTGAATGACGGGAACAGGAAGATATGGAATGATTGAACGGAATGGAAGAGACAGCAAAAAAAGACAAAATATAATCAATTTCTCCGACGAAAGCTGTTTTTTCCATTTGAAGGTCAAAACAAAACCGCGCAAACCACTCCCGCATAGCAAGCTTTCCCCGAAATGTGGTCGAGGTCTTCGTCGGTCTCTGTTGACCATGATTATTTGTATGAGCGAGAGCGTAACGTGTTGGATATGATCTGACAGATAGGTGTGTTTCCCGCAGCTCGCCGTCAACCACAAATCAGCACAGCTGATATTATAGCGATTCAAAAGTTTTGCAGATAATCACTTATATAGATAAAATACATTCGGAAATCGGCGAAGTAGGAAAAAGCACATTTTGACGACAACAAAAAAGCTTTTCTGCTGTAAAATTGCCTCCTCTCTACGTGACTTTTTGTTGGAACGACCATGTGGCGTTCTAGAACAACAAACCGGGTGCAAAGCGATTATTGCGATTGTTAGGCTGACAATAAACGAAAGGTTGACGAAAAAGAATGTAAAATAAAAGGTGAAAGATTGATATCATGGAATAAAATACGGTTCAAAGAGTGATATTAGGGCAGTGGTGTAATGGCCAAGGATCGCACACGGTCACACACATGGTTAAAGGTTCAAATCCCTAATTGTACCCCCCCCCCCCCNCCCCCAAAAAAAAAGAGTTCGAGGTTTGAGAATGAGTGTTCTACTCCCATGCAGTGAGAGCTCGATCGTTTTCCCCGCTTACCGGGTTACCATCAAGTAAAAACGAGAACTGGATGCGCCTACCAGTTAGAGACGTTTCGGAAATGGAGAGCAGCGTATTTTCAATAGATCCACCGCTTTACGTAAGTGAATGTTGGGAAATGCATTAGAGACCGAGAAAAAACTCTGAAGAGAGGAGGATGAAAGCGATAACTTCAGGATATTCATCGTCCCTATTGCCTTCATTAATTTCGCATTTGAATAAATTCCATATCAGCTCTAATATGAAGAATAAAACCTTCTGGCGTTAATCAATCCTGTCTGAGGGATGCGCCACTGCATTTGACTTCATTCAGAATCGCAGTGGTATAATGAATGCGTATGTGGCCTATACAATGACTTGAGGAGGCCAGCCGATGTTCAAGTCAGTGCTTTTATCCTCCCAGACGGGTTGCTACCAATTGATCGACCCCGGAGGGATGGAAGGCTTGGTTGGCCTAGGCGAGCATCGATCCGGGATTCGACGCTCTACGTGTGATATAGCACTTGCCACTACATACACGACATCCCTCAGCTCCTAGGTACATACTTTCCTATAAATCATCTAGACGTGACGGGTTGTATTGGAATTGTAGTGGTAGTCATATTCTGTGGGCCAAATGTCGCATCGTTTTCAAAACAATAACAATAACAGGGACATTTTGTCCGCTGTCTCGACCACTTCGACAAATGAGAAACATAACGACGCGGTGACTCGTCCCTTCTGGGTGTGTCACCCATTCGGTAATTGAAATAGATAGAATAAGTATAGTAGGGAGAGTAGAGGTGGGTGAATTCAGGTGGGCATCAGAATCCACAGAACCGCTGTTTTGGGTCGGTCGTTCGATGAAAACGTAAAAATACTGTATCAATATGTATTATGGATGTTAAATGTGGGAAATGTCAACTTTGATCACGTTTGAATGCAGTCACATGAGAATTCACTTGAGTTTCGGTGTAGGAAAGAAAATCGCCATCACTAATGGTGAACAAAGAAAAACTCAAGGTCAAAAACTGAATCGCCTTTTGACGGCGCTTTCCAGAAACCTTTGAGTAACTCTTGAGAAATTGTCGGTACGATGATTGTTAATGATGGACGACTTAGCCTCCGAAAGAGTTTACTTCTGTCTTTACCACCCAACGTTCGTGGTTTAGAGCGGAAATGTTCGGTCACTTCAAAACTATTAGAGATCCAGCTCCATTGAGTCTCTGAAACCTCCCTTCTTCGTTCACCCCGTTAAATTCAACTGTGGAGATATAAACACCCTCTCGGATTCTAGTTACTCTTGCACCGAGCCAAAATTGTGCAGATTGTGGTCAGCATTCCCCAATGTCACTGTGGTGCGCCATGCATTCGACCTACAACAGAGTTTTCCGACAAACCTGCCTTCCAAAAGTGTCAAAACTGCCTCAGCTGCCTTCCTTTTCCTGCCCTCCTTCTCTCTCATCCCACCCTCCTCTCCCTTACACAATGTTCTTGACCTTAATCTAATTAGTTGCATAGTACTAAGCTTGCCCTTGTCTGGTAGGATAAACAGCGCAGCTATCCTTGGTGGCCAGCTGTTGTTCTTCATTCCACCTCTACTAAAGTGATTTCCAGTTGTTCGGCATCTGTGTGTCAGGTGACTTGGTCGAGCTGGGAAGAACTGAACTTTGTTCTGTGAACCACCAGAGCCGAGAGGAATTGCTCCTCCCAATCTATAGACGCTCTTCAGATTGCTGCTGGATGCCTGACCATAAGGGCTTGACAGAGAGTCATGAGAAGGAAGATGTCAAAATGATGTAAATATTAAAAGGTTCAATGAATAGGTAGAGGTTCTGGTTCTTAGCGGCTTCATAAATCATGCCCACATAGGTAACCCCGTGCCCCTATATTCATGATTTCTTCGGAATTCGGTCTTCAGAACCACTGGGATCCTCAGGTTTTTGTTGAAAGTCTGCGTGACCGCGAATTCTCAATATTTTCACCCTGATTCAAGAAACAGAGACCTGTCCACCCAATTAATCAGTGATGATTGATCGGACTACCTACACTACCTGTTTGTCACTGTTCTGGATTGTTCTATGCGCATTAAAACAGCAATTGCACTTCTTACATGGAGCGCTAGCCTGCTATTGCTCAACATCAAAGAACATTTGACCCCTGACATCGATCCTTCGAGCAGGGTTGGACTGAAAGTAAACGTGCACGTGGTACCGTAACATCAGAAACTTCTGGAAGATGACACAAGTATAGAACGCGCTATCTAAGCTGGTTTGTCGTTCACACGATTGGCAGTCACGACAAGTCGGCGATTTCTCAACCTTCCGAAGAGTCCCATTTTGTCGTTCGGGCGACGGGATCGGGCTATTTATTTCTACCTTAAAAGTCTAGCAAATCGTTGTGCATGCGATTATCGGACACATTTCGGCTATCGGGCTATCGGATTATCGGAAATGAGAAGCTCAAGGGGCTGCAGGAAGCTCTGCAGAACCTTTTAACGTTCCCGTTCAACGGATGTAATTGAGAAAGATAAGGGCAAAGGATAAAACTTATCAAGGTGGAGAACCCCTCCTTTGGGATTCACGCCCCTATTTGGCCTCCACTCGAATTCTTAGTGATGGTTCCAATGCGTACGTGGCCTATGCAATGACCCCCATCGCCCAGCCGCTGTATAATTCGGTGCTTTTATCCTCCCGGACAAGCCAAACAATGCCAATCAACCGAACCCGGAGGAGGGGCCAGCTTGGAGATCCAGGTCGGGTACCTATCCAGGTATCAATCATCATACCTAGGCATGTAGTAAGATGCCACTTACCCCCACATCGTCTCCGCCCAGCTGAGAAAGCAAGTCCAACTAGATATGGGGGATTCTAATTAATGTCCAGTGGGTAGTAATAGAGTGAGAGCTGTCGCAAAAACCGGTATAGGAGAGACATGAAAACTAAGGTGACCACATAAGCAATCATAAAGGCTACGCAAAAATAACAAAGTAGCCTAGGAATGTTCAAACAAGTGTGCTTTGACTTATGAACAGACCGTCCGGGAGGGTTCTGCTAACAGCGCAATAGGCTACTCTACTTCACTTCTTTGCTGTTCCCTCCTCCGATAGCTACACAAGTCTTCCCCTACCTGTTCCGATTAGGTCAAGAAGAAATAGCCGTGGTCCATGAAAGCATCCGCCGACCATTCTACTTACTGTAAAAGCACTTACCTATCAATTGCACCTAAATTTCTCACGTCGTATCACATGTCGTCAATTATTCCTTTCCAACATTATTTGTGGTTTGTAGTGGGAGAAAATTTGACTACAAATTACCCTCACATGTCATCAAGTAAATAGTGCAATCGAGTAAGTGAGAGCGTAAAAGTGTGCAGGGACAGTGACCAAAAGTGGTAACTCTACAGCCTTTCCGTCATCACAACAAGTAAATTACCAGTCATCACTTCGAATTAGTACTCCAAGATGGTGTGCCGATAATTAATAGGCGATTAGCCCAAATTGATAGGAGCTCTGAAAGAAAGGGAGAGGGAAAGGAGAGAGGATTTCGTTTGAAAATATCTGCTTGAATGCGAATGTGGTCTTTACATGTAGTAGTCACCCAGAGTATAAGTCAATGTATTTACCCTCTGAAA